TCCTATATCATTTTAGATTTTTTGTTGTGAAAGCGCTTCATACGTCTGAGAGAATTATCAAAGATATTATGACGTATCCAGTTTTGGTTCCTTCTTTACGAGCGAGTAAAAAGACAAACTCAGCTCAATGACAATCAAATAATTACGGAGCTTAAAGTTTAACTTGCATCAAGTTTAAGACAAAGAATTGAATGCAGAAAAGTTTTGTTTTGTGAATCAGTTTTGCAACGTCGTCTTTGCAATTCGATACTGAAACGCGAGCGAATATTATATTAGCATAAAATGTCACCTCAGGAAACCAACATAGATTAAAGTATGCAACTGTGCCGTTTGGGTCTTACGCCCGTATTCACAAACGATGCTTGCTTAAGTGAAGCAGCAAATCGAATCCACAACGTTGAATAGAGCTCTGTGATTGGTTCGTGTGTCACCCTGTGCGTCCACGCGCAGTGAGACCTCATAGTAATGTTTGTGAATACGGGCGTAAGTCTAATTTATTTATGGATTCAGTGTTTTCTAGTGCTGTCTACGTCCCATTGAATGATCGATACGCTTTGGGTGGGCTGAATTAGTTATCGGAACGAAAGAGTTTGTTTTGGTTGAATTTTATGAATGTTTTGCTGACCAGTAAGTTTACCTACTTGGGGAAGTTGAGGAAAAACGTCATACGTTAAAAAAATCACGTGAACCCAAAATTATAAGCAGTACATGTCCAGTTACTTTATCGTATGTTGAGTTCCAATTTAGATTAGTTAGTTACTTATAAGCTTGAATCTGTTTTAATGTAGATTCATCTAAAATTGTACAGAACTAGTTGTGGGAGGTTTGATCACAAAATTAAATTCATCAAAGAACAGGAAAGCGCTGGACGCATGCCACTACCAACCGGGTAACATGGAAAGCATTGGGGGAGGCATATGTGGACGTCCTATGGCTGAGATGATGATGATGATGATCAAAGAATTAGATGAAGATAGTGGGGTTCAGATAGTACGTCCTGCATACGAAATACACAAATTACATAACATTAACTATGACTTCGCTTCAAACTACAGCAAANGTTTACCTACTTAGGGAAGTTGAGGAAAAACGTCACACGTTAAAAAATCACGTGAACCCAAAATTGTAAACAGTAGATGTCCAGTTACTGTATCGTAAGTTGAGTTCTAATATTTACATTAGTTACCTACTTACAAACTTGAATCTGTTTTAATGTAGATTCATCTAAAATTGTACAGAAGTAGTTGTAGGAGGTTTGATCACAAAATTAAATTCATCAAAGAATTAAATGAAGATAGTGGATAGTACCTAAGTCCTTCATACGAAATACACAAATTACATAACATTAACTATGACTTCGCTTCAAACTACAGCAGACAAATAGGCAGACGATCACCTGGCCAGTGATTATTATAGTCGTAAAATTGTATAGCTTTCGTGACGAGTTGCAGAGGTCGTTTCGACTGACTCAGCCTTTGTTAATTTTACAGATAAGCACAGGAAGTTCTAGATATTTTGTTCTTTATGGGCATATTAGTGTGATAAACGTTCAGTGATATTTTCAAACAAAGTCGGGACAAGGTTACTTAAATAAATTCAGATGCAGTTCCAGACAGATTTATTAGTAACTGACAGTTTGAAGAGGCTGGAGAAGGAGATACACATAGATAAATTATTGACCTAGAAACTTAACTAGACCAATATTTGTATTGTTCTCGACCGATAGTCTGGGTTTTGAATCGAAATCAATATTGAATAAAATGTATTGTTTATTTTTACATAAAACAAACAATGGTGATGCAAATCCCAATCCACACATTAAAAAGTATAATTTTTATGACTAAAACTTTCGTACTATCTAAAAAAGTAATCTAATCAAGCGGGTCTATTACCATCTACGGTGTTGATAAGAACTAAATCCACCTTAGTTCTTCTTATCTACAACGTAGATGGTCGTAGCTTTTTAAACACCAGCTAGACTAAAAGCATATCAGGTTATTTGCAATATTAACAGCTTGAAGATTCGTTAGCGATAGAACTATTAAATCCAATTACGAAATATGAACATGTTCAAAGAGTCAGACTAAAGGATACTGGGATCGTTCAAATATTGGCATCATCCAGAATCTACGCTTGAGTTTGAGTTGAACGATGTTTCATGCATGATAAACCTAAAATGATTGTTTTCTGCTTTAAGACTATCATAAAACTCATTTTAATGTTGCAAGAAAGCTTTTAAAAAGCACTTTTACAAGTCCCAGTATTGACCCTACCACTGTTTGTGGACAATAAATGGGCCAGTGCTAGTGCTTCAAAAACAAAACATCAGGGATATATTTCGCGTACGCCTCAATCAAAACAAAACTGTCACCAGCAACTATTGACAAGACATATTTCCCAACAAAACAGACAAAATGAAAAGTCACGCCAATCGATACCATACCGTCACCGTAATTGGTCTGAAACGTCCAAAAGGGAGATATATGTGCGATAAAAAAACGAGCCGAGGTCTGGAGGGCTGCGTTCAACGACCCTAGGGGGACTCCCGAAATAAACCGCGCGGGGGTCTCTGCTCGAGACTCGTATAAATAAACTGGAGATTTGAGGCCAACGAACATTCGTGGAAGCTTGAGTCTGTGTCTTAAATTGACAATCCGTTTTGCGGAATGTTCAGATGAAATTTGACGTTAATTGTTTTAATGTTTAGAAACTGTAACTGTCAGGTAAAAGAAGATAAATAGGAGGAATCATATTTAGGATTTCGATCGCTTTTTGGCGTTCAGTCAAAATTGGGAAGTTAAATCTTTTGCTTTTCTCAGTAGAATTTCACAATATTTTTATCTGTTGGGTTCACTAGCTTCTTAAGACTTTAAGCTCTAAAGAACTAGACATAACAGAAAATCTATTGTTGGAACTCGTGAGCCACGCGCCCAACGCAACAAACAGAAAGCCTTTGGTTTTGTACAATATTGGCAAAACTTCCAAAAAGAATTTCACAATATTGAATGAGTGACGAGTATCCCCACGTTTTTATGATTAGATTAACATCCTGATAATGTTATCGTACTTCTAACTAACCACAGCTTTGACGTATTCATTTAGATTATTAATGTCACCGACAAGTTTAATAAAACTGCGAAATGACACGTAGTAAACAAAGGTCAACGAACTGTTACATTTGGTTAATTAATTTAACAATGCCAGGTCGTTAATGAAATCAACATAATCAAGCAAATTGACCATTTAACTGTCAATGTTATGTTTGTGACTGACGAAGACGATGTCACTGTTTACCACTCCTACACTAATTAACCTCAGGTTGTATGAAAAGAAATCTAAAAGCAATACAAGGAAATCATTCAAGTTACGATCGATAGTGGTCTTAGTACAAGTCCCACCTCTTTTTTCCAGCACTGCAAGTCCTGTATAGCCAGGATCTACAGCATGGCCTCCAAAAGAATGGCTAACAGTCAATAGACACAAAAAGTTATAGATTTACAGAATTTGACTAAACTGAAACGAAGAAAGCTGACCTCGTCAAAAACGGCGACGGAACTACCGATCCTAGACCTAGAAGTATTAGTAGGTTTAAGGAACAGACCAGTAGTTAGGAAGCTTCAAATGATTATGATCTTTCAGGACATAAACATTTTATTTCATTAGAAAAGAATCTACGGTCACTCGACGTTATGCCGACTTGTAGGACCGTAGGTATTTGACGATCTTTTGGGTTGAATTAGGTTTCTAAGAGAATAATAGCCTGATTAGGAACAACTGATTACCAACAACGGCAAATTTGACGCCATATAAATAATATCCACAGAGTTACACGAGATTACAACAATAGAGATGTGATGTCATTGAACGTCTTTGCCTAATTGATATCTACGGCTCAAGAACAATGCAATACGTAACGTATTATTGTGAGGAGGATCCGCTATTTTGAAGGTCGCATTACCAGTGACTTCGGATATGACGAGATTGCGAATTGATTGGGTTTTAATGATGGACTTATTGGGATAGAATTTTGAGGACCCTGATTTTCCGGATTAAACAATACGAATACAAACTAACGTCTATCTCGCACAGTCGGGATTTAAATCAGGCTTTGTCTCAACTGGAGACGAAAGACATTATAGAAGAAGAATAGAAAAGCAGCAAAAATACTAAACTGTATTTTTCACGTGTTTGTGCCACAAACAAACTTATCGTCCCAATACGATATGTCAATAGACACCCAAATGTGACACCTTTGAATTAAGCACACAAATATTATGCCAAGGTGTTCAATAACGTCTATTTAAAAACTTCCGAGTACTAAACAATACAGTCTGGGTCCAAGAATCATGAGAGTGAGCTCAAGGTCTTCGAAAAACGATAACAAGAGTAGGTAATTCGCATTGGTTGATTGTTGAATCACGAATTTTTAATGGTTAATGTTATGCATCGAAACGAAAATAGAGACTTTTTTAAAAGAGAGAAAACACTGGCATGCTAGAAACAAAATGTTAGAGATAAGAGAAAATATGGGCCTCTAGATTGGGACTGAGGTACTTGAAAATATATCTTATCAGATTTTTTACACGGAGCTGTAAACAGGTTTGGCTACATGACCGATAAAGGAAAAAATCCTGAATAGTGTAGTTATTAAAGCTACGACTCACCGGAAAATGTTGGAACAACACTGCAGGAAACACAACCCATAATACTCCCTTGCCAAGTACCTCACGGCTACGGGAGCAAAATGGTTTTACATGAGCTTATAGCCAACATTTGGCCGCTCCGAAAATAGTAACAGGCCCCACTAATGTTATAAACATTCAGCGCGCCTGACTCACACATGCATGCACTATAAAAATCAATATTTAAACAATTACACCGCGATATCTACGGGAAAAAACGTAGCGATGTTAAAAGGCATGAAATGGTCGCCTCTGAAAAATGTGACTGCAATCACTATAACTAATATGGGAAAACAACTAAAATAGACTTGTACTCACACCGAGACCTCGCGACATCGCATCACGTATGCAATTAGTTAGTGGCGGCTGTTTTTTAACGATGGAAAATCAATAATTTTTAAGAGCACAAAATTGTTCATATTTTTCCAACGGGCCCCGCTTTCCTCTTGTGGTCTCAGTCGCTCGGGCACTTAAAAATGAAAAACCTATTGCAAGAAAACTGTGGAAACGAAAGAGATGCATATACGTCGCCGATTGTAAATAATGACAGGGGCAAATCATAACAAATGAGCGAGACAGTAAATCATGTCGGAGGTCCCAACAAAAACAAACTAATAGCGCGATTTTGGATGTAAATTGATAATTAAAATATCACTTACCAGTTTCCCGTTTATTTTAATGCACATAACAAGAAATATATTATAAAATAAGTGTTTTTAACATCGCAAATGCATTTTGACGGCACACGCGATCATCCGTCACGCGGACGCCATTTGCAAAAGCGTGCAGTACGATGTTGCTAGCATCGTCTTGTAAAAATCCAACTGAATGTAATATTCCAATAAGATATTTTTTTAAATAAATAAATAAATAAATAAATAAATAAATAAATGGAGAAGCTTGTGTTTGATCAGATTATGACATGTAAAGATTTAGTAATGGCTTGATCTTTTGATAATTTAAATGGGTCATTCCATAAAAATCTGTATATTTTCGACGTCATTTTGTCCGTAACTTTTTTAAGATGCTTTTGAATACTTTATTAGTGTAAATTATTGTTTATAAATTAATTATGTTATGTCTAAAAGGGCCAGTCACTTTATGCTTTATTTTAGGAGAAATTACAATTTTCAATTTTTTCATACTACATTACTCCTATATGACTTCTAATAAAGTATAAAACTTATAACCTTAACATTTATAGATAAGTTAATACACATAATGTAGTTGTTTTGTTATTATCACTATATAAAAAACATCATTCCCTAACTAGTAATTTAGTCCCAAGTGCCATTTAAAGCTAGGGCCTGACGCTCTAGGGACTGACGATTTGGAGTAAAACTTAACACAAATGCAGATTAACTTTATAAAGATGCTTAATACGATGTGCCGAAAATAGCCAAAAAACCACACGTAAATACTATTAAATTATATACAATTTCCTATTATAATCAATAAAGCTACTCAACTAGGGACTGACGAAGTACCTCGAAATCTTTATAGACTTCGGACAGGTCTGGTCTAGTAAGGACAATCTGTTCAGGTGTCAGGTAGGGATTCTTAGATGGATCAAACTTGGAGTGCAAGTGTGATTTTGTTCCCCAGTCGACGAAGCACATGATGTCGTGCCCTGCGTGCCCAAACAACTGCAAGCAGGAAGATTTAATGAAGGCTACTGACAACGCCACTCTTGTGGCGGAGTTTTGGCCTGACGCTGTGTAGGTTTGTTGTCGACATGACAAGAAGAAGAATAAAAAAATATTTTAAAGGTACAAGCAAGTTTTTATTCTGAAATGCAGTTGTACTAAAACGAAAAAAATAATGCAAGGTTCAAATAATTTCGAAAGCTTGTAGCGCAAACCAAAAAAAAGAGGAATAAATTCCATGCGCGATAATAAAATAATACGCTTTTCTTCCAATACTTACATCTTTTAAAAAAAACTACGTTTTATTTAAATTAAATTGATGGTTTAAAAAATTTACCTAATATTCGAAAAATCCGGATAATCCGGATTCGTACGTAACACAAATCCTAAAAACCGGATTTTAAAAAAATCCGGATTTTGCAATCTCTAGTCGCGGGGCGCGTCACAACTTATAAAACAATTTACCCCGATTCTAGGGAAATCAACAGCACATGGCAACATTGTTCTGTCCCCTCATATTTATCGAATTTCCTATTGGAATCAAGTAAGAATTTGAGGACTTTTACAATAGCAATAAAATGTGTAATAATTTAATAGAAAAGTACCAAATTAATTAAATACCACCGGATTTATTTAACTGTCGCTCTTGTGGCAACATTTTTCGACTGTCATTCATCATCACCGTACTTTTCGCGGGAATTTCAACTTTCTTTGCGTTCGTTGTTTAGGTAGAAAGACGACTTTCCCAATATTTTTGTAATGTTCACGATTTATTCATGTTCAATAAAATTAATTTGCAAGGTACAAAAGGCGGACTTGGTGCCATATGGCATTCTTCTCCAGTTAGGTAACTAAAGAGCGATATCGATTGTAGACTGGAGATTTTTCAAAATATTTTTGGAAATGTTATGAACAGGTTGTAATTTATCAAAATCCGTTCATCTTCAGTCGTCAAATAACAATAAATTCTGTAATAATATCTTGTTTCTTTCTTTTACATCTTTTAGCTTGAAAAAACCTTTTTTTTAGGAGGCCAAAGAATAAAACTACAAAATAACATTATGGAATTAAATTGTTTATTAAAATAATATTTACAGGATATTTAAAGTTTGATAACGTGTCCTTAAACTATGACTTATGGCAAAACATTATTTTATACTACCCTATGTTTCAATCTGGAACTGTATGTGAGAGATAAAGTCAGAAACCATATTCACTTACAAATGTATGACTTCCTATTTCATAGATTATTTCATCAGCATGAAGATCAATATAGTTTTTTTTTAAGTTGGAAGCTTTTACAAAAAGTATTGTTTATAGAAATAGAGTATGAATGAAACGTCGATACAAACTTGGTCTAGTCCTTAACTGACTAATTGAGTCAGTGCTTGAGGTATACAGGGTGTTAGGTAAATGGGTATATGAGCCGACACTAGCCCATGTTAACATGGGCATATAAATGGTATGGTGAAGTCAGAAAATTGATATCTTCATTTTAATTATTTTATTTTTCATACAAATCGTATTTTATAAAATTTATTTTGTATGAAAATTAAAAAAATTAAAATGATATCCAATTTCTGACTTCACCATACNTGGTGAAGTCAGAAAATTGATATCTTCATTTTAATTATTTTATTTTTCATACAAATCGTATTTTATAAAATTTATTTTGTATGAAAATTAAAAAAATTAAAATGATATCCAATTTCTGACTTCACCATACCATTTATATGCCCATGTTAACATGGGCTAGTGTCGGCTCATATACCCATTTACCTAACACCCTGTATAGTTCCAAAATACTGAGCTGTCCTATGCATGACATTGACAGTGGGGCGCCACCGTCAATACCGGATCGCTGGTTCCGATATTTTCCATGTTGGAAACCATATAGTTGAACGATGGTAGCGCCCCCCTGTCATTGAGTTTGGTGGGACAGTTCAGCGTGGGTCATCATAGGAGCGGCACGGAAGGAGTGACATTGACATAATTAAGACGTGACAGCATACAAATCTGAAAGAAATCTCAAGTCTCGCTTACCTCAGGCACTGACTAAATTTAAGAGCTACACCTATAGCATAGGAGGCTTTTAATTGGTTGAATTTTAATAGAAATAGTTTATTCAGTACATAGGCCAATAATTTTACATAACATTCGGCGAATATTTATACCTACATACTTTTATTTCTCACATACAATTCCAAAAATACATACATAATGTACAACAGTTTCTATCAACATAGCTATGTCATTATATTATTTGGAACAGAAAATATAAATATACATAAATTTCCAACAATAAACCTAAAAAATATATACACAAAAAAGGAAAACTTAATATAATTTTGTATAAACTGTAAGAAAATTCAAAAATAACAGATAATTATAAAAAAAACAAGTTCAAAATAATATAATAACATACGTCGAGTTAGCCCAGCGTTCAATGCAGTTAAAAACCACTAGAAACGCACTTAAACTTAAAATATATTTACAAATCTAGCTATAGTCAATTTATACTAAAAATGGAATCTAGAAAAAACTTTATTTTGGAATTAATAAATTATTTCAAAGTGTTTTTTTGCCAATCACTTTCATATTACGGATATGTGAAGTAACTTTTGATATACATTATGCTATGTTATGTACATATGTAACACGGTAATATGTAGCTTAATCTCTGATGTAAGTAAATTTAACATACAGGGTGTTCTTTCAAGGTGTCAAACTGGTGGTGGTTTTAATCTAAAGTTCAGCGATTAGAAAGAAAGAAAGAAAAGTATTTATTTGATGTAAGTAAGATTAGTTTTAAAAGGTTTTCTTAAAATTGTAAGACTGGGAAAAATATTATTATTTTCTACAATAGTGGTTGATTTTTTTACCGTCTCGAAATTTTTACATAATGTTTTACCCATGAATACAAACAAGTTTCACAATGGGACCCACTCTGAAATCACAAAAAACAAATGAGCTGTATAATACGAAAGTTCAATACAGGTTGACCAAAATTACACAGCAGATCTTTTTCAGTGCTTGAAAAGATCACCCTGTATTTATATATTTTCTTTTACATCAAAAATCAATTCTATTTAGTATTTCATTTGTAAAATTACGTATTTGATGTAGTTTCCGACACAACCTTTTAAAAGATACAACATATGTAATTGGAATGCTAGTCCATTTTTTATGTTTTTAGTCAATAATGTATTTATGTATTTCATATTTATTGGGATTTTTAGTCTCAAACATGATTTTTTATTTGAAAACTACAGGTCTGGCGCATAACTGAGTGTGGCCAAACGGGTTGGGGAGGTACAATTCGCTAGTAAGCTGAGCTTTGTATTTGTGTGAGTGATTACGAAAAGTAGATTTAGACAAGAAAAAAATAGCAGAAATGTTTGTATGGAAAAAGTGAACACAAAAACAAAATAAAGAATTATACACGTCAGTACAAGAGGTAAAGTGAGATAGATGCGCCTCAGAGCGATTGCCAAAAAGCGGTAAAAGAAACTGTCACACCTTCACTATAGTTTGTTTCATCCACTCGGACGCGCCCCACCAATGTTTGGTCTCGGTCGCGCGGGGTGCGGGGAGTGTGGTCCGAGCAATCCGTAAGGCATTACTGTAGTGTGCGTGTGCACTCATGGATCATTTAGCGTGTACCGATAACACTCAAACATTAGCGGAAGAATGGTGGGGCGCGTCTTCGTGGATGAAACGATTTATATCCATGTGAACTCACACAAATGCAAAGCTCAGTTTAGGCACGCGAACTGTATATTTATTTCTTTTCATTTATAAATGAGAAAAAATGTTTAAGCAGTCCATAACTACAATCTCTGGTTGAATCTCTTTTTGAGAAAATCAACTTTATAACCCAAAGTTTTAGGTTAAATTTTGTTTGTCACTATAGAGAGTTCAGCGCCACCTAGTGGATTATTTTAGTCATGTTCTATTGTTGAAATACTGAATGTAGTTACATACAAAGTTAGGAATAAGAATCTGAATTATAGAGGGCGCCACTTGGAAAGAAAACGGGCAATACCCAATTAAAAAACAGTCTGTAACATTTTGAAGGAATGAAATATACAAATCGTGAATGATCCTAAGTCATACAATACATACAAACTTCAATTTGAAACATATCTAATATTGCACAATATCACCTCATTACATTGCAAATGTCACGCGTGACAGCTGTCAAACGCAGCCGTCAGCTGTCAAGTGTCGGCCGCCAGAAGTCCCGGCCGACGTACAAATACACAAGTACACAAGGAAAGTTTCAAGGAATGGAGTACCTACGCCTCATTTGAGAAGAAAGGAAAAACAATAAATGCTTTGTAGTTAATAAAATAAATAACAATGTCTCCCGTACGATATACGGGCACAGTCAACGGTCATTGTTTGAACCAAACAAACGTCAATGTGACAGGTGTCAGAAGTGACGTTTAACTGTCAGACTGGTGATCAATTGCTGACATAGCTTGCCGTACTCTCGCTGGTCGCCGGATATCCGGCGCATTTTCAGGCCTTTCTTTTCTTTAGCTTTGTTCTCGCACACAACCAGTTCGATCTGGATTCCACCGGAATATTCTAGATTTAGAAACCCAGTTAGGGCTTCGTCCTCGCTGTCGTTCTGTCCGTTTGTTTCTACGAATATATTCTGCGGGGGCACTCTAGTATTTATAGCCTCTTTTAGAAGTTCTACGATACTTTGCGAGTCTAACTTTGAGCATACGGTGGACAGCGTCACTTCGTAGTATTCTTGCACGCAGGACACTTTTTGGGGACTCAGTAATATTGGAATCTTTTGTTCCTCAGGCCTGCATATCTCAGTCAATCGCAAATCCATGGTCGACCGCTGCAATTTCTCTATTTCTTCAGTCCCTTGGGGGCTTTCTTCGTCACACTTTTCCAGACAATGCCTGCTTGGGTCCCTTGGCATATAAACATCTTCGTAATACTCCTTAACTTCTCCTAGTGTTCCTTGAGCAGAAAACGACGACCTAGGCGTCTCCCCCTTTTCGGAAAAACTGCCTCTGCCAAAGTCGCTCCTTTCCGAAAACGACGATCTTCCAAAATCTCCCCGTTCAGAAAAACTACCCCGATCAGAAAACGAAAACGATTCTCTATGCTCAGAAAAACTGCCCCTGTTTTCGCTGAATCCTGAACTAATAGAGACTATATTCGAATAAATCGACTGGACATTCTGCTCGCAGTTTGGCGAGACATTCGCCGAGTCGTTGCTTAGCGAATCATCACTGAATCCTAACGACTTATCGCTGCCTCGTCTCGGATATTTTAGGTCTTCGCTTAAGAACTTATTGGTGTCATCGGGGGTTTCTTTTGGCGATTCCATTTCGGTATCCTTATCGACTTCTTTAGGGATTTCAACTGGAGGTGGCGGTTCAGATTCCTGGCTGACTTTTCTGCCAATACCCTTCGTTATGGACGGCCTATCGTCTAAGTCCGACGGTTCAGAAATCACAAACTGCGGTAGCGAATACTTGGTGTTTTCTAGACTGTCCATACTGTCTTCTGACGATGACGCCACAAGCGTTATTTCTGACCCTAAACAATCTGTCAAACTTATCTGAGGATGAGTCGACGCGTAGTTTTGGAACTGATGCTGCAAATGGCGGGTCATATCCTGGGAAAACAACTTCGCGTCAGCATTGTGTGATCCGTTCCCGATCTCCTCTTGGATCATGTCGAGGGGAGACCCGGGGTTTGAGATAGGGGAGTTGTTTAGCGACCGGTGCGTCACTAGGTGTACTTGAGGGTGGACCATTGGGAGGAGTTGTGGGTACTGAGATGTGTCCATTTCCACGTTGCTTCGGAGGTCTAGTGGAGTGGCTGACGCTTGTGGGGTTCCTCTCGTTATGGACCCTGGAAAATAAGGCAATACTCAATATTATGTTGCATATCTTTAAGTTTAGTTACACATTACTATGTAAGGGCCTTTTCCCACGGGATTTCAGTCCAGTTTTCTGGGATCCAGTAATGCAGGAACCAAAACTGGACTGTCGAAATGAATGTTTGAAATTCAAATGTACCGGGTTTTTTGCGGGATGTTCGGGTGAATTATACTAAACTAACTACTAAGAGGAGTGTACCCGGAGTACGAGTGGATACACTATAGTAGTTTTTGTTTACGAGGGTGAACTCAGTGTGTGTGTGTGTGTGAGAGAGAGAGAGAGAGAAAGAAAGAGAGTGAGTGAGAGTGTATGAGTGAGAGAGATATTGAAAGAGAGTGAGTCAGTGAGAGATTTAAAGAGAGAGGGAGAGAGTGAGTCTTCTTCTTGTCATGTAGACAATAAACCTATACAGTGTCAACCCAAAACTCCCGCTACAAGAGAGTGTCTGGCGGCTACATACCTGTGTATAGTAACATTGTGTGATTGTTGTCATTATGTTTGTACATACCTGTGTGTAGGTAGCTCAGTCCCTCAGTAATCTGGTGTAGAGGTGACCCAGGGGAGGCAGGGGAGGCCCGTCCCGACAGTAACGTGTAGCCCGAGTACGAGTGGATGCACTTCAAAAGTTCCTGCGACGCGTTGACGTGCGGCAGGCAGAGCGTGTGCAGGTTGATGCCTAGCTTTAAGGCTATGTCCTGGAAAGAAATAAAAGGAATTGTTAAAACAAAAACTGTAAATCGTGATTCCTTCCTCCANTTACACCATGTTGGGAACTAATTATACGTTCTACTCATATCACTCTAGGAGCTACTTTCCAGCTGGAGTAACGTACACTGGTACGCTGGAGTGAAAAAGAGATATGTAATGAGTGAGAGTGAAAGATAGATAGTGAGAGTAAAAGAGTGAGATAGTGAGTAAGAGTGAGTGAAAAAGAGATATGTAATGAGTGAGAGTGAAAGATAGATAGTGAGAGTAAAAGAGTGAGATAGTGAGTAAAAGTGAAAGAGAGAGGTAGTGAGTGAGAGTGAAAGAGAGATAGAGAGAGTGAGTGAGTGAGAGTGAAAGAGAGAGAAGGAGAAAGTGAGAAAGTGAGAGTAAAAGATAGAGTGACAGTGAAAGTTTCTTTACCTGTGTGCAGATAGCTCAGTCCCTCAGTAATTTGGTGTAGCGGTGACCCAGGGGAGGCAGGGGAGGCGCGTCCCGACAGTAACGTGTAGCCCGAGTACGAGTGGATGCACTTTAGAAGTTCCTGCGACGCGTTGACGTGCGGCAGGCAGAGCGTGTGTGCGTGAATACAGTGTGTGTGTGAGAGAGTGAGCGAGTGACAGAAATAGAGTGAATGTGTGTGAGTGAGTGAAGAGTGAAAAAGAGAGATATGTAATGAGTGAGAGTGCAAGAGAGATAGAGAGAGTGAGAGAGGGAGTTAGAGTGAAAGAGTGAAGTCAGTGAAGAGTGTCTGGCAACTATTTACCTGTGTGTAGATAACTCAATCCCTCAGTGATCTGATGTAGCGGTGACCCAGGGGAGGCGGGAGAGGCCCGTCCCGACAGTAACGTTTAGCCCGAGTACGAGTGGATGCACTTCATGGGCTTTTGTTGACGAAGGTGAGAGAGTGAAAGAGAAAGTGATAGTGAGAGAGGGGGGGCGAGTGAGAGAGAGTGTAAAAGTGAGTGAGAGTGTGAGAGAGAGTGAGTGAGTGAGAGTAAAAGTGAGAGTGAAAGAGTGAGTGAGTGAAAGAGAGGGAGAGAAAGAGTGAGTTAGAAAGAGAGTGAGAGTGAAAAAGGGAGTAAGAATGATAGAGTCTAGTGACTAATTACCTGTATGAAGGTAGCTCAAGCCCTCAGTAATTTGGTGTAGAGGTGACCCAGGGGAGGCGGGGGATGCGCGGCCCGACAGTAACGTGTAGCCCGAGTACGAGTGGATGCACTTCAAAAGTTCCTGCGACGCGTTGACGTGCGGCAGGCAGAGCGTGTGAATACAGTGTGTGTGTGGGAGAGAATGAGTGAGAGAGAGTGAGTGAGAGAGAGAGAGAGAGTGAGTGAAGGAGAGAGGTAGTGAGTGAGAGTGAAAGAAAGGTAGGGAGTGAGTGAAAGAGAGAGAGAGAGAGTGAAAGAGAGAGGGTGTGAGAGTGAGAGAGAGAGAGAGATAGAGTGAGTGAGAGTTAAAGAGAAGAGTGAATACAGTGTTTCAGAGACTGTGAGAGTGAGGTGTGTGTGAGAATTAAAGAGAGAGATAGAGGGAGTGAGAGTGAAAGAGAGATAGGGAGTGAGTAAAAGATAGAGAGTGACAGTGAAAGTTTATTTACCTGTGTGCAGATAGCTCAGTCCCTCAGTAATTTGATGTAGCGGAGAGCCAGGGGAAGCGGGGGAGGCGCGTCCCGACAGTAACGTGTAGCCCGAGTACGAGTGGATGCACTTCAAAAGTTCTTGCGACGCGTTGACGTGCGGCAGGCAGAGCGTGTGCAGGTTGATGCCTAGCTTTAAGGCTATGTCCTGGAAATAAATAAAAGGAATTGTTAAAACAGAAACTGTAAATCGTGATTCCTTCCTCAACAGGACAGGCAATGCCTAGTGGTCTGTCTTTTGCTTAGTACTACTTGATCTGGCAATAAATATTTTCATTTTCATTTCAGAAACGTAGGGCAAGCTATATTTGAGACGTGTATAAGCGCCATGGAAAGGAACTAAGAACTGAATATCTGAGCTACTACTAATACGGTCGCGGGTTTGATCCCACCTTAGGCAGTTCAATTTTAACACGCTTTTAATTTTTATTAGGTCATCGTGTATGTAACTATGTAATGGAATTTAAGAATCTGAATTACACGCATTTCTGATTCTTGTATAATCATGAAACTTGGCAATTATATGTAGATTAGATGACAATACCATGGTACCATCGAGCTAGTCTGATGATGGGACTGGAAGGTGGCCATAGGAACTCCTAAACGAAACGGCGGAATCGCATCGAGTTTGGGNAAAACCTTGGGGGAGGCCTTTGTCCAGCAGTGGACGTCATTTGGCTGAAACGAACATCCAGAACTGTTATATTCTGTAAGATTGACCGAAACGCATAAATATGAGGAAAAATGCGTTCATAAGGTTTTCAGGCGACGTTATTTGGCTCTTATAAGGGAGATTTTACAACAGAAGAGAAAACGTGTGTGTGTGTGAGAGAGAGAGAGAGAGTGAGAGTGAACGAGGGGGAGAGAAAGAGTGTGTGAAAGAGTGAGTTAGAAAGGACTCAGCCCCTCAGTAATTTGGTGCAGCGGCGAGCATGGGAGGCGGGGTGCACTTCAGGAGCTCTTGTTTACGAGGGTGAATGCAGTGTGCGTGAGAGACAGTGAGTGAGATTGAAAGAGAGAGATAGTGAGTGAGAGTGAAAAAGAGAGAGTGATTGAGAGTGAAAGAGAAGGAGGGAGTGAGAGTGAAAGAGAGAGATAGAGAGTAAGAGTGGTGTACGTTACTCCAGCTGGAAATTAGCTCCTAGAGTGATATGAGTAGAACGTATAATTAGTTCCCAACATGGTGTAAATGTGCGCCGAATTAGAGATTAGTGCGTGCTGTCGTTTTGGTACAAAACGAAAAAAACGATTCCTGCTGGAGTAACGTTGTTCTAGCACGAAAATTCTAAACGAATGATCGGAAAGAGAAAAACTGTGTACGAGCAGATAGCTTATATTTGTTCTATTATGTGAGCTGAAAATGTGATTTGTGCGTCTTCAGGTTTTCGAGATATTGCATTTCCTGCCAGGGTAACGTTTTGCAGAATGCTCTATCTCAATAACCGTTATATGTGCGCATATAGAATAAACACACACGAGTAGCTCTTGATTTGTGCGTATATGTGAAAGAAACATGTTTCTGAAAATACTTATAAATATCAAGCAATCGAGCTTTCTTCAAAATCCGAAAAAATCGTGTAGCGCCTGAATAACAAAACATACAAGCTCACTGAAAACTGTATTCGATCCTTCTTAAGACGTATTATAACCATAGAAAGTTTCAAAAACGCACATTCATGGGTCATTGAATAATATCACTAAAAGTAATTACGACGGAGCTATAACTTTGACGTCAAAATACAAGGAATCAGCTACACCAAGATGAGCGGATGTTAACCGTATAATTAGAGCGTTTATTGAACAAATATAAAATACAATATTCAACTTAGAATGTATCGCTTAAAAAAAGATATGCACATAGATTTAAATAATAGATACCGCATGTCAAATACCTAAATAGAATGAAAAGTATGAAAACGAGCGTGTCATTCTTCGTCATCCATAAGAGTAGGCGCACACCGTTGATTTTTAGTTGGCCGATAGTTGTGCCCGATTTCAAATTGTATGATGAATCGGCCAAATCGAATCGGCGTAGTGTGCGCACGGAGGACTGATCATAGCGACGGCTAAGGGTGTCTTGGCCGCAGCGGGGGGAAATGAGACACAACGACGGACGGTTGATATCTGTTTATTGTTATGATTCTATTGCTATTTATACATAAGTTATTTACTGTACACAATGAAACGTATTTGCTAGTGTGCCGTCGGTGTAGAGTGCCGACGGTGGACGCTGAGGGTTCATGGGTCGCCCGGCGGTCGATGCTGAAGGTGCAGCAGGATGTCGTGCTCGTACACCCATACATGCCCATACTGATCAACAGCCCGACTAAACTATCGGCCGACGAAAAATCAACGGTGTGTGCCTACTCTAACTCGTGTAACCATGAACCCATCTTTACGGTCGAGGGTACAGCGGTTAAAATTTATTTTCCACTGTACCATCAAGGGAACAGCCAAGGGTACACAGGAAAGTAAGGGTGTCTATCAACGAGCTCGAAACTAAACATCGTAAGCGCCATTCACATTTTTATCGGAAAGTTAATAGAAATATTAGCGCGGCGACGGTGCGGCGGCGGCGCGGCGGCGACGCGGTGGCGGCGTCGCGAGCAGGAGCGCTTAAGTTTTCTTGAAATCTAAAAGTCTCCTGACTGTATCGAAGAGGTAAATATGGATGCCGCGATGCCCGTTGTGATTTTATTAGGATTTTTNTTTTGAAATGCATGAGTCTTTCTGCATAAGATTTAAGTTTTTTTGTGAGACCAAAGGAGCTTGACAGATGCCAAAGAAATCTCTTCTGTACCCGTTCTATTCGTAAGGAGTGAACCGCATAATGAGGCCGCCACACAACGCTGCAGTATTCCAAAGTGCTACGTACAAGGCAATTGTAGAGATTAATGCGTGTATAGGGCTTATGGAATACCTTTCCGTTACGCATGATGAACCCTAGCATTTTATTGGCCCTACTAACTATGCAGTCGATGTGCTCAACAAAGGTTAATTTTGAATCGAACGTTACTCCCAGATCTTTTAGCGATTTCACTTCGCTGAGAGTTGTGCCTTGAATGTGGTATTTAGATGGAATAATCTTTGTATTTCTAGTGAATTTTATGTGTACACATTTTTTAGAATTTAATAGCATGCCGTTTGAGTTGCACCAATAAGCCAGGGCATTAAGGTCACGTTGCATCATGGATACATCATCCGTACAGGTTACAACTTTTATAAATTTTAGATCGTCTGCGTATAAAAATGGTGTAGAGTTCTGAAAACACATAGAAACGTCGTTGATGAATATATTAAAGAGAATAGGGCCCAAATGGGAACCCTGAGGAACTCCTGAAGTTACATCTTTATTGCCCGATTTGAAGCCGTTAACAACAACATGAAAAGTACGGTTCTTAAGGTACGAAGCCAGAAATTGCAAAACATTACCTGAAAANTTTATTTTCAAGTTATTTATAATGAACTAGCGGCCGCGACTTCGTACGCGTGGATCCGTTTTTTTACCCCCTTCATCTATCTTACGCGGTTTAGATTTTTTCATACAAATATTTTTCCCGCTAACTCCCGTTCCCGTGGGAATTTTGCAATATCCTGTTGTAACTAAGCTTTAAGTTTACTAAGGTACATGCATGCCAAATTTTAATCGTCTAACTTAAGCGGTTTAGATTTTTCATACAAAAGGATTTTCCCGCTGATTCCCGTTCCCGTGGGAATTTCGGGAATTCCTTTCTTAGTGCACCTCTACGGTACCTAAGCTACGTCCCTTCCAAATTTCAAGTGCCTACGTTTAGCCATTTAGGTTGTGCGTTGATATATCAGTCAGTCAGTTTCTCCTACCTGGACGAACGTACGTACCTGTGTGAGCAGCTTGGTCCTAGGCAAGTCCAAAGCCGCCGGGTCCCGTAACGAGCGCGCGGCGCATAGCACTGCCCTCGCCGCCTCGGGCGACACCAGGCTTAGGTCTAAGGCCGCTACTCCACACGCCGCTACCGGCGAGCCTGGGGAAATAATTGTGTGATAGTTCCTTGATGTGTGAGGAGATGGCGCTGCATGTATCTTACATTGCGGTAGTAATATTATTATATGCACGAGCGCGACAGCAATATATGTATAGGCTAGATGACACAATTAACTTTTAAAAAAAATAAAACCGACTTCAAATGCGTGAACACAAAAAAGAACTAAAAATTGCGTTAAATAACTGATTTGATTTGCAAGTAATGATCTTAATCGAAACTAAGTAATAATAATGTTCACCAACGAGTATGATATATTATTATGTATTTTTAACTCTGACTGATGTAAAGACTCAAAAACTTGTTAACTAGACAGTTACCTTACCTAACAGACGTTAGGTTAGGTAAGTTTATTCAAGTCGTTATCTATCAAATTTAAAAATTTATTAAAAAATTTTTTTGTTCATAAAAAAAACTATTTATCGTAATTTTGCTATTTGGACTTGTGTTCTTTAGAAAACAAGTGATTCAATTGTAGCTCTAGATTTTTATTGTTATTTATCCTTAAAGTACACGAGACTTTATGACTTTTGTTATGATTATTAGTAAATATTAATTATGAAAGAAGATTTTATTTTTTGTTTCTTTCCTTACCAAATAAGTGGTACTAAATTCTAATATTGATTGTTGTGCATAAAAGTAGGTATATTAGATTAAAAAAATCTGTGTTTTTATTAGATTTCAACCGATTTCAGCAGTTTTCATTAAAAGACTCGAGACCCGAGAAAACTCGAGACTTTGGCCTCGAGAATTCTCGAAACTCGAGAAAAAAAATAAGTCGAGAAATCAGAAACCCTAGATATTACCTATACGCCGAAAAAAGATTTGTTCAAATCGGTTCATTATTGGCGGAGTTATCGCGTAACAAACATAGAAAAAAAAAAACATACGGGTCGAATTGAGAACCTCCTCCTTTTTTGAAGTCGGTTGAATAATAACAGTGCTACATCGAGTTGAAATGGCGCGATACGCTACGCTTGAGTAGATTTTGTACTCAAAAGTGACGTCACGCGACATTTCAACTCAATATAATACTGTAATTATTCGATTATGAATATAATACTGTAATTATTCGATTATGAAAAAAAATTTTTTTAAATATCTGTCTGACGAAATAGAATTTCGATTTAATTACCCAGTTATCATCCCTATTGTGTGATAGTTCCTTGATGTGTGAGAAGATGGCGTTGTACGTACCTTATAACGCGGTAGTATTATTATTATTTTCAACTAACTATTAAAGTCCGGTCGCCGAGCACGTAGAATTTCGTCCAATGACCCCAAGCTACCCATCCTTATCGCTCGCGCGTAATTATATTGCTGTCACGACTGACGACGACACGGCGGAGTGTGCGAGCGCGACAGCAATATAACGCGCGAGCGATAAGGATGGGTGGCTTGGGGTCATTGGACGAAATTCTAAATACTCGGCGACTGTGCTTTAGTTTCAGATAACAGACAGTTACTGTCGTATTTGTACCATACTGTTATTACTTAGTATGAGGTATTTTTAATCCACGTTTGTGGTCAAGTTTTAGACCTTAGATCAGTGGTTCTTAACCTTTAAGTCACGAGGGACCATTTTACCAAATTCCTGTCTCGTCAGGGACCTCTTTTTTTAAAAATCGATTTTGTCGCCCACTGTGCGCCGTTTGCTTTGTGTTATTTCGAGTCATCACGTCACGTCACTTGTTTATTACGATGTCTTCGTGGACCACTTAGAATGCCTCCAGGGACCACCAGTGGTCCGCGGACCAACGGTTAAGAACCACTCACTGCCTTATCGAAAGGTTTGATTCTCTGAAGGTTAAATTTTCAAATAGTTTGCAAACACTTCAAAATAAACATTTGGCTAGTGCTGTAAGTAGTTTTGTATTCACCTGGCATACTGGAAGCCGGCGTGTGTAGCCGCGTGTCCTGTAGTGGCGGCGAGGCACCCGCGTTGCTGCCGCCACTTCTCCTTTCCAGGCCGCGCTGGAAGACAAAAATAAATAGTCGTATAATATGATGCAGTCATCTGGTTAGTCAATGAATTGGGCAATTAAACGCCGGCGTCCTATTTATTAACTAGAAGGCAACTTTTTTATCTTCTGGCCATTTTTTACAGGACAAAAATGTATATTGAATAAAGGTAGGTTATGAGGTTTGTACCCCTACCGTTAAGTTTTAAACCATGTATTTGTTAAATATGTCGATTCACTCCAATAAATGTATTCACAAGCTGAACTAGAATTTTTCTATTAAACAAGGTTCACCAAGGCCAAAGATACGAAAAAGAAAAGCTTCCAAATCTTTCCAAAGCTTCAAGCTTTCAAATGCCAAATCTTTAAAAACTGTTCCGTCACTCGCTTAAGTGGGAGTGATTCGAACGATTTTACGATAGATTCATCATCACCATTTCAGCCACGGGACGTCCTCTGCTGAACATAGGCCTCCCCCAATGATTTTCAGATTGATCGGTTAGTCGCGGCTTGCTTATTAATACAGCGTCTTTCCGCTACCTTTCTGAGGTCGTCTGTCCACCTTGTGGGAGGAGGTCACACGCACACGCTGCGCTTTCCAGTACGTAATAGATTAATAAAGTATCAATACAGAAATAAAACATACCTGCAACTGCTGGTACTCCAGCTTGGCAGAGGCCAGGTCATGCGCAGCGCGCGGCGGCGAGCACTCGGCGCGTCTTACCGGCGAGTATCGCTCTGCGTGCTCACGCGCTAGAAACGTATATCAGATTGTTTTAACGCAATAGGCTTACGGTAGTGTTAAGGCGATCGGCGAAAGTGCTGCCACTCAATTATTCGTTTGATTCAACTATCATACCAAATAAAAACCCTTCAGGCTCATAGTAGCTTTATTTACTATTGCCGTAAAAGGTAACATATTTAGTGCCACAGTAAAACACAGTGTTGGGCTAGTAACCTAGCACCAACAAACCATCTGGCGTTAAATAAACTCAACATCAAATAAACCGCACCTTCCGCGACGCGAACTTTAACGATTTTCTTCTGACGCAATCATGGTGCCCCAACAATATTGGTGTTATTTGAAAGCCCAATAAATATCCTTAAAGAAAAACACATTTAATTTCTTAATAAATGATTAACATATACCATAAATGTGACTTGAAAAAATACCTCACTTTGGGCCCACCTATGGGATCAATTAGACCAATTTTTATGGNTAAGTTTTATAATAACGAGTAAAAGTAGTATAAGAATCCTATTTCAACTTATTTAAACAGTCCATACTCTTGATTAGTTTGTAGTCTGAGCCGTCGTCTTTTCGCATGAAGATTCTGCCTTCCTTTACCCAGACATATTTGAAGTCCAACTCCCGAGCTTTAAGTCTTGCGGCTGCGTGTAACGCCTTGTTTGTAGGTGATAAATGCTCTGTGATGAAAATAGGTTTCTTCTCGCCACCTATACCGAGTAGAGAGGTGTTTAGTTTATCCAGCTTGTGTTTTTTATTGTAAGAGATTGATGCAGCCAAAAATGAATCACGCACTCGAGGAGAGCTAAACTGAACTATAACATTTCTGGGTCGTGTACTGGAAGGGTTGGCTTTAGCTGTTCTTGTGCAGTACAAAATCTTATCTTGCTCAATAATACATCCAATTACTTCTCCTATTCTGGTTACGAGGTTAATGAGGTTTTCATTCTTATTTTCGGGAATGCATTGTAGCTCGAGATTGGTCATACGAGCGCGTTGTTCAAGTTGGTTAATTTTATTGTTCTGGTCTTTGATCATTTCTTGCATACTAGAGCTATCTTCTTTTAGTTTCTTCACACTAGACGAGCAGCTATTCATCTCCTTAGCAAAATCCTCATATTGTTCACTTATAAAGTTCATGGACGTTTTTAGATCTTTAAGCTCGTCGGTAACAGCTTTTAGCCGGGTATCAATCATATTAGAGAAGGAGTTTTGGAACTGGGTAAACATATCTTTTAGTTCCGCCCTGACGACGTCGGTCACTACACTCCTCAGATCGTCCTTATTTATATACTCTGGCGCCTCCACTTCCTCTACACACATCTCGGGAGATGACGAAATAGCCGGCCTTTTGACTCTTCTGGTAGACTTAGGCTGGTTAGGGTGGGAGGCTTTGTTGCTGCTACTGCTCGTTGAAGCTTTGATCGGTGCGTTGTCATGCTTTGATCGCCTTTGTTTTTCCAAAGAGCATAATGGACAAGCCCAGTCAGCCCCCAGTGCAATTTCTTTGACTCCCGAGGTAAGTAAGCATTCGTTGTGGTAGTATTTTTTACATTGCATGCAGCAAACATAACCCCTGCTGTCGTCCAGGTCGCTCATATTACAACAACCCCATGTCATATTCGATAAGTCTGAAGTGAGAGGCATGGCAATAGTTTTGCTAGATGTGATATTGCCTTTAAAAATGGTCAGGGGCAGGGGATAGGCTATTATCGTGTGATATTCTGATTTTAAGCCTACTATTCAAGGCAGTGTGCTAATATTATTAAAAGCAGTTGCTTATTGCGACAAGGAGGCGACTCAAAATGACGTTTTAAGCAAAAAAATCTCGATTGCAGAGGCGCTTCTGCGCTGTTTAATCTTTGACCCAATGCACGGCGCATGCGCGGTGACGTAGTGGTGACTAGTAGCGGGTGGGTGCGCGCGACTATGGTGCTTATGCGCTGTGCGTAACCGTGTTGTTCACCTGTGGGCTTCGCGCTGGACTTAATGGTGACTGCGCTGACTGTTGGTTGATGTATGATTCAGCGCGATTGTAATTTGCGTTGTTTTCACTATTTTTATTCACACTGGTAGTTTATTCGATGGAGAACACACTTGAGCACAGTTTAAAACAGTAATTGCAGATGATTAGACGTTTTTACAACACTTAGGGAGTCAATTCTTAGAGAGTAGTTGCAAACACAGCTGACCGCTATAAGACGCGGCAAAGAAGATAAAACCAAATAATGATCTCAAGTGTCCTCTTTAACAGATGGATAGCGATTAATCCCAACTTAACAGTTTTATAGCCATTAAAGTTGGCTCTAGCGTAACTACCTATTTTTTGAAGAAGTGACTCTGGATCCTTCTAAAGACACATTTTTTGGGGTAAAAACCTTTCCTTTAATGAAATGAAGGTTAGAACTATGCTTTCAAATGGTGCCAATATTGGTGGGAAGTGGGGAAGCATACGTTTGAAAATGCTTGTCGCGGGAGGTGCGATTTATTTGATGTCGAGTGTAGTTGCCAAGAAAGCATAAGTATTAAATAAGTCATTATGTTTATAATAAAAACTTGTCGTGGCAGCGCTTTCGCAGAAAAAATCACCGTAATGAAAATGACATAACAGAAGATTTTTAAAATCCATCGCTGCATATTTGTTTGTATCGAAAAAAGCATAAAAATCTAAAATACTACACACAACGTCAAACTACAAGTGCACACACACTGATGCAAAACACACATTTACTACGTACTTACATGAACGCTGTGAGATTTTAATAAAATTGGCAATTTAAAATATCAAAATCAATAAAAGAAGATTTAAAAATTGCTTTACCTGAAAAAGTTTTCAACTATAACAAATATTACCATGGTTACATTATTTTTTAACGATACCCGATTTTTGATACCGATTTTTTTCTCCCAGAAACCACCACCCAAAATAAAAAGAAACAAAAAAATTACCCATTTCTTGCACAGTCGCCAACGTTTGCAGTTTAACGCGTTGAGGGCCGGAGTATTTCCTTTGTCTAGTGTTGTACTGTCCTTGGTTCGTATACTGGTTGGTACCAGATACCGAGTTTTGGCAGGGCGTTCCGGCCATGATGGAGCCACTGGGCATGTTTTGCATCTGGGTTGAATTCTGCACTTGGTTCTGATAGTTCATAGGCGTGCCACTAGTAATCGATCCGAAATTGCTTGCGAAATTCGGATTAGAGCTCACATTGAAATTGGTACTGGTATTCATGTTCGCACCAAAATTGGTATTAGCGTTCATATTGGTACCGAAGTTTGGATTGGAGTTTATATTCGTGCCGAAATTATTTGAAGACATGCTCGCGCCGAAATTGGGGTTTGAACTCATGTTGGTACCAAAATTGTTTGTACCAACGTTGGCGCCAAAATTATTGGTATTTCCGCTGAAGTTACTGTTACTAAAGTTGGTATTCATAGTGTTAAAGTTTGGCGCGCTGTAGTTGCTTCCAAAATTGCCGAAATTCTTGCTATCAAAACTGCTTGTGCTCATGGGTGTGCCAGACACAATTGACCCCTGGTTCTGAACTGGGGTACCACTGGTTATGGACCCACTTTGGACCACCGCCCCATGCGTAGGAGAATACTGGCTCAACTGCGGTGTAAACGGCGACGCTGCTTGCGTAGTGATGGGCGTACCACTCATAATCGAGCCTTTGGTACCGATCATGCTGCCTTGCGGTATCGTCTCTAATACCGGTACCATTTGCTTCTGCCCGCTCGGTCCTGCACTACTGTAGTTGGGAGTCCCTTGCGTTATGGACCCTTGAGTCGGACTCTGCGGTACGTTTTGCGTCGTCGTCGTGGGTGGGTTTTGGTATCCTTGGTACTGGTATCCGCCCTGTATGGAGGGAGGGAGGTAGTTTCTGTTCATGCGAGCTTCCACCTCCATCACTAGCTCGGGACTTATGACTAGGGTGGCAAAGAAAAACAAAATTAGCGGAACACGACATACAGCATGCTTCTAGTTGCGAAATAATCAAAATTGGGGAAAATTACATGAAAATAATATTTCAGATTTTTTTAACGTTTGAAGTGAGATTTGAGCCATGTATGGCACACGTCAGTGGCTCAAATGGTAGAGCTTAAAGATGACTTTACATACTTATTTTCTTAGAAAACTTAAGAATCATATTAATAAAGAGGTAGGTATGGTGAAACAAAAGCTGTTTCTGTATTGATGTACATAGATTCATTTTATTGATGTACATAGATTCATAAAGGTCATACCTATTTTTTTCAAGATCTAAAATTCTAGAGCACATTTCTAAAAAAAAATATTTTCATGTAATTTTCAAAAAATGCAAGCAAAAATAAAATATAAAAATATTCAATCATTTTACAAAAAATCTACACATCGAACTTATTACTTACTATTTAATACAAAAATGTCAAGCGCAAAATAAGTATGAACACAAAATCATTGGAATTTTTGAAGTTAAAACTTTTTATTTACATGACAAATGATTTTGTTTTCATTATAGCAACACTTTGAAATATGGCAACTTGGCAACAGTGAACTGACATATCCTTAAGGCCCAGAACAGACGGCGAAACGCAACTGCAACGAAACTGCAACTTTGTGATGATTCTGATGAACGAAACTGAAACTGAAAGTTTCAAACTGGTCGCGACATGTGTGGTCTCTCATCGGACGCTATGGCAGAAACTTAGATGCAACTCGAAAGTAACTAGCAGTTCAGTTTCGTTGCAGTTGCGTTTCACCGTCTGTTCTGGGCCTAAGCGGACCAGACAATATAGTTGGACAACGGTGACTGAGTTTCTTCCGCCACTTCTACTCAGCACCAGCCATGTTGTCCCGAAGTGGTGGTAGGGCAAGCTATATTTGGGACGTGTATAAGTGCCCTGGAAAGGGCCTATGCACTGAATAAACTAATTTTATTCTATTTTTTTACTGAAGTGTTCCAGATATGGGTTGACACTGACAGGGCGCGACAATCAGCCCCCTTAGACAAAACGCACTTTTTGATCGAATCGAAAATCGAATCCGTCTAAACTCCATAGTACAAGAAAGGGGCTTTTCGACTGGTTTGCGATTATAAATTTGCACTTTGTCTAGACCCACAGTACTTATTGGGTTATTAGTTCCAATTATTGCCACATTGGACAACCATAATATAATTATGACATTTACAGGATGGGGCGCTACTATCAATACGGGTGGTTAGTTTTTTATTTTCGCCACTTGACGTTTCAAAATTGCTTGACTATAGCACTGAAGTGTCCCAGGTACGACATTGACAGGAGGGCGCTACTATCACAACGGGACTATTCCCACTTCTCGTTCCCACCGCCGCAACTCCTGTGTAGCCAGGATCTACAGCTTGACCGCCAATAACCCAGCCAGTGAAGGTCAAGTTTGTCCCGGGGGAAAGTTAGAACTGTAGTGTCTGGCCCACTATAGACAAGGCAGCAAATTACAGCTAATGAGGGTTTTCGCGTATGAAAGATCCGCTAGATGGCGGGACGTGGATGTGGAGTCTGACTGCTGCGTGATTGGTGGATTTTGACATATCTGTCAATGTCATGTCAAAAATAACCAATCATGCAGCATTTGGACCTCGCGTCTACGTATTGCCATCTGGAGGATTTTTCATTAGCGAAAACCCTCATTCAGCGATTTGTTGTCGTTGAAGTTTTGTTACGTGCATGAGGCTACAGTTAAATGTCGTCCAACGTGGCAAAAATGGGAACTAAATAATCAGTAGCGCCCTCCTGTCAATTTCATGTCTAAAACACTTCAGTCACGCTTCAGTTGTACAAGTATTGTATCTGGTCCACCATAGACAAGGCAGCAAATTACGGCTAATTCACTGATTAAAATAAAAAACTTTATGCAGCAAAACTGAAGGACTGTCTTGAACTTACCGGGAGGCCGCTCGGTGACTGTGAGTAGACCTGTCCTCCTCACTCGTATGCTCGACGTAGAGGACGGAGATGTACTAGGCTGGTGGGAGAGGATGAAATTAGTGAGGTAGTTTTAAAATTCAAATTCAACTTCATTTATTTGCACAGAAACATGGTACAATACAGATCTCAGATAAAAACAATAAGGTTCAACATGTTTCTTCTACAAGACATGCAAAAATTTCTGGCTGAACATTATTGAGATTTAATGAGATGAAATAACGTTCAAAATAAGATATATCACTGTGAAACAATAAGTTCAATACTGCTTGGTTATGGCTCAAATTGGTTGTTCTAGTCCGCAATCGATTTGCAAGAAAGTTTTGCAATAGCCTTTTTTTCATTAGCATTAAAAATAAACTGTCCTACCACTGCACCTCTTTTGAAGCCAGAATCTACAGCTGGCCTACAATGAGACTCAACCAGTAAAGGTTTAGTATCAATGGATAGCTAACTTTCTCGGTTCTCGCAACGAATTTAATCAGAAATAGGTGGAGTTCGAAATATAATATCGACTTAAACATTAGCATTAATGCCCCAAATGTTGTACGAGTATATCGGTGAGTTATTGACCAATGAATATAGCCTGAATGCCTGCAATCAACCAGTGAAAGAGGTTTAATGTGCCACACAGAAATCTTATTTACTTCAAATGCGGACCAGAATGACAAATTAAAATGACCTTTATTGCAACCCAAACTTGATCAAACTTCAACCCAAAACCGCCCTTATCCCTTCCCCAATAAAGCCCAAACTCACCAAGTTTCCGGCGGCATTAGCGGCGTCGTCCTGCGAGCCGATGGTGTGTCTCTTGCCGCTGCCGCGAGTCAGCATGTACCTGCGTCGTCGCACCGTCAACCGGGTTTGTACAGTAAAGTGGGGGGTTTGGGAGGGGGGAGAAAGTAGTTAAAGGGGGTAAAATCCCCTTATTAAAAAGATTCCCCACTCCCCAGTGCTAAAATCTTTTTAATTTCTCCCCCCCTCTTACTAGCAGTTAAAGGGGGTAAATAGGGATGTTTCCTGGGTCAAAAAGCAAGAGTTTTAATAAGTCCGTCAGTTAACTTATCAAAAAATACTCTACACGTATTTTTCACTTTTTCAAACTAATGAAAATTTAAAGCGCGCCAAAGTTCATAAGAAGAGGCCCGTGACGTCAATGCTTGCATAAGTGCCGCACGTTGTGACGTCGTGCGGAACTTCAACGCACCGTAACTATGTAAATATTTGTTAGATTGACAAATAAAAATATATGTGTCCAATATTTTTTGATATTAAACATGACGGACTAAAAAACTTTTTTTTAGGAAACTAGCCTATTATCCTCATTGAAAAAGATTTTAGCACAGTGGGGGAGTGAGAGGGAGGAAGTTGGAGCACAGTGGGGGTGTGAGAAGGGATATCTTAGCACAGTAGGGGGGAAGTGGGAGGGGGTCTTTAGCGCAGTGGGAAAGAAGGGGATTTAGAGCAGTGGGGGGTGTGAGATTTTGAGGGGTAGATTTTAGTGCAGTGAGGAGATATTTTTGCACAGTTGGAGAGATTTTGGCGCAATGAGGGAAGATTTTGGCGCAGTGGGGGAGTGGGAGGTTTTAGCGCTGTTGGGAAATTAATAGGGGAGATTATGTAGGAAAAATCAACCTTTACAAAAGGTATAAAAATTAAGCGTGTACAATCGACTTGCACAGTTTGTAAGCCGCTGCCGCGAGTCAGCATGTACCTGCGCCGTCGCACCGTCAACCGGGTTTGTACAGTGAAGTGGGGGGTTTGGGAGGGGGGAGAAAGTTGGAAAAGTGGGGAGAAAGCAGTTCTCTTCATTTTTGCACAGTGGCGGAGTGAAAGAGGAGATTGGGGGAGTAGGAGAGGGAGATTAATGCGCAGTGAGGGCTTGAGGAGAGGGAGAGGGAGGTGAAAAATCCCTCTGTTGTGTAGATTATACATGAGGTGGGGATGGAGGAGATTTTTCCCAATATGGTTTTCGTTCGTTCGTTTCAGCCGAATGACGTCCACTGCTGGCCAAAGGCCTCCCCCAAGGATTTCCATGATAGGGTTTTAATATAGACAAAATACCGGTTACACAACCGGTTACTTCTCTGAACAAGAGAAGTAATGGTACCTATAGTTCTTGCAACTCCCGAAGGCGAGTGAGCTTTACTTGTGTATGTAGGTGTACGTGTCTATCAAAACTTTAAAATCGAACAATAGCGAGCCACCGCACATGTGAAGCTCACTCACCTTCGTGAATTGCAACTAAAGTACGGCCAACTAGCAGCGATACAAAAGGTCGATTCGACTGTCGAACTGACAATCTATTCTGTATCTTCCCATCTTGTGTATTTGTCGCAATGTCTCGTTCTCCCGCCAAAATATGTCAAAGTCAAACCCTTAGGCTGGATTGCACCATCTTTAACTTTGACAAACGTCAAAAATCTGTCAAATTCCATACAAAAAGCACCGGTTATCGTCATAGTTACCGTTAAAGATAGGTGGTGCAACCCACCCCTACTATTCCAAATGACCATGACATTGGGTTTGTTTACATTTGGTATCGCTTCTCGTTGGCCGTACTTTATAAAGGTACTAGCTAACCCGGCGAACTTTGTTCCGCCTTAATGGCAATAAATAAGCAGACTTTTTTTATTTCGAACGGGATAAAAAGTATCCTATGTCCTTCTCCTGGCTCTAAACTACCTCCCTGGCAATTTTCAGCTAAATCGGTTCAGCCGTTCTTGAGTTATAAGTGGAGTAACTAACACGACTTTCTTTTATATATATAGATAGTATGTGGTATAGTTCTACCAGCGAAGTACCTGCACAAGTTATTGTTGTAGGCCGCGTCTGTTCCATGCTCGTCTGATGTTTCCGAGTCTTCGGCTCGGGCGGGGGCGCCACTGTCCGACGCCTGTAAGGAAAAATATGTATTGTAGAAACTGTTGAATAGCATTGGCACTTGTCAGTTGGCGCCACTGGCGAATTAGGTCATGATAATGACAAGTTAGGTCATGCCACTGGCGAGTTAAGCCATGCCACTGGCAAGTTAGGCCAATACACTGGCAAGTTAGGCCAATAAACTGGCAAGTTAGGCCAATACACTGGCAAGTTAGGTCATGCCACTGGCGAGTTAAGCCATGTCACTGGCGAGTTGGGTCACGCCACTGGCAAGTTACGTCATGCCACTGGCGAGTCAGGGCATGCCACTGGCAAGTTAGGTCACGCCGCTGGCGAGTTAGGCCATGCCACTGGCAAGTTAGATTACACCACTGGCAAGTTAGGCCACGCCACTGGCGAGTTGGGTCACGCCCTCAGATCATAGAAGGGAATAGATGTGAAACGGGGGCGTGGCGCGCGTCTCCGCGATATGCCCAGAAACGAACATCGGCCGCGTAGCTAGGTTAGTCGCGATTCAGTCGTACTAAGGAAATGTTATCCGATATTTTGGATAATGCGTCGTTACGTGCAATAAAACAAGTGAAACGAAGAACTACAGGAACAATGGAGTCATTTACTACATGTAAGTATTGCAAATCCATTGGTATTTTGCTTATAAATAAAAAAAACTAAACATTTTTACGAACGAATTCAGTGCCGTAACAGTTACTGCGATATCGAAATCAGTGGTGATAAAAATTCTAACACGCTTGTACATTGACGATTTAGTTAGCAACCACTTTATGTCATGCTCAAATACTGCGCAATGTATTTAATTTCTTCCGATATCCACTGTCGTGTGAAAATACACAGTACGGCCGCATGTGCCGGTCGTAACATAGTGCCGTGCTCGTGTTCTAATGCGGTTTCCTATTATCGATAAATAGAAGTAAATTATAATTTTCTATTTTGTAATTTTAAATAAAAAAATGATGTGTTACTTGCGATTATAAGATTTTACAAAAAAATAATAACAGTAGAAGTAATTAGTAACTGTCAACTATGTAATTACTATAAGAGCTAGTTGAAAGCCTAATATAGGCATTATTTTTGATAAACATATGCGGTACGCAGATCGCCATAATTAAAAAGTAAATGCGTGATAGTAGTTAATAATAACGTATAATAATAAAAAGGTTTTCATACATAAGCATTTTGTGAAATCAGTTTCGAGCCTTGCCCCTAGCGATTTAAAGTATCGATATCTTGTCGACTCCATTTTATCTTTGTTCTCTCACTAGCGTTTTCTATGTGTGCGTCACGTCACGCGGCCATTGATTGGCCATAAGGCACGCCTTCTGGCCAATCACAGCACTTTTAAGCCGGTTGCACATGTTGTCGTAGACTCACAGTCGCTTTGTTTTTACACAGTTGAATGTGTGTGTGGGAGCTGTGGTGGGGGAAATGTGGGGACACTGGCTCTCGTTGTAGTTACGCGCGACTTCATATCTATTCTCTTTCTATGATCTGAGGTCACGCCACTGGCGAGTCTGTTCATGCCACTGGCGAGTTAAAAGCTATGCCATTGGCAAGTTAGGTCATGCCACTGGCGAGTCAGGGCATGTCACTGGCAAGTTAGGTCACGCCACTGGCGAGTTAGGCCATGCCACTGGCAAGTTAGGTCATGCCACTGGCAAGTTAGGTTACACTACTGGCAAGTTAGGTCACGCCACTGACGAGTTAAACCATGCCACTGGCGAGACAGGTCATGCCACTGGCAAGTTAGGTTACACTACTGGCAAGTTAGGTCACGCCACTGGCGAGTTAAGCCATGCCACTCGGGAGGTAGGCCATGCCACTGGCAAGTAGGTTACACCACTGGCAAGTTAGGTCACGCCAATGGCAAGTTAGGTCACGCCACTGGCGAGTTATGTCATGCCACTGGCAAGTTAGGTCACGCCACTGGCGAGTTATGTCATGCCACTGGCAAGTTAGGTCACGCCACTGGCGAGTCATGTCATGCCACTGGCAAGTTAGGTCACGCCACTGGCGAGTCAAGTTAGGTCACGCCAATTGCTAGTAGCGGTAACTGGTGAGCGTAACAAGGAAACGGTTTTCATTGTTTTTACGGTAGCAGGCTGTCGCATTTAGTCTTCAGTTGACGCTACTGGCAAGAAAAGTCATATTACCCGCTAGTGGCACCCCAGGTTAGTATGTGCAGATGCGCGATAGCCTTTTAAATGGGTGTGAGAAAACATGAACACTTAAAATAGTAGACAAGCGTAAAACCGAAGCGAACTTGTTGCTAAATTCTATTGAGCATAGAGTTCAAATTCAAATTAGAGTGTAGAAACAACCTGCTACATTCCATTCTAACCCCTAACATTATACAAATAAAGCTCAAACTCACATGATGCACAGGCGCCGAGTGGCGCTTATGACGCTGGGATCTACATTCTATTCTAACCCTTGACACTATAGAAATAAAGCTCACAATCACAGGCCTATACAATATACAATCTACACTCCATTCTAACCCTTAACACTATAGAAATAAAGCTCAAACTCACATGATGCGCAGGCGCAGAGTGACATCAAGCGCCTCTCTAGAAGACGCTGGAATCTACATTTCATTCTTCCTTAACACCATACAAATGAAGCTTACAATCACAGGCCTATACAATATACAATCTACATTCTATTCTAACCCTTCGTTCGTTCGTTCGTTTCAGCCGAAAGACGTCCACTGCTGGACAAAGGCCTCCCCCAAGGATTTCCACAAAGACCGGTCCTGCGCCGCTTGCATCCAGGTACTTCCCGCTAACCCTTAACACCATACAAATAAAGCTCACAATCACAGGCCTATACAATATACAATCTACATTCTATTCTAACCCTTAACACCATACAAATAAAGCTCACAATCACAGGCCTATACAATATACAATCTACATTTTATTCTAACCCTTAACACCATACAAATAAAGCTCACAATCACAGGCCTATACAATATACAATCTACATTATATTCTAGCCCTTAACACTATACAAATAAAGCTCAAACTCACATGATGCGCGGGCGCAGAGTGGCAGCAAGCTCGCTCGCGTCCTCGCGGCACGTGCGCGCCGCCGTCCGACGCGCGTCGTCCGAACGATGACGCTGAAATGAGAATGAAAATTAGATAGAAAAAGAAGAACGGTCACGCCCCATACAAAAAAAACCCAGACCCGGGGAGGGGGAGGTGGGGAGACTTTAACGCAGTGGGGGGATTTTAGTGCAGTAGAGGAATTGGAAGGGGGAAGATTATAGCACAGTGAGGGGAATTTGAGGGGGGGATTTAAACGCAATGGGGGAGTGGGAGTGACATTTTACCACAGTGGGGGGAGTGAAAGATTTTAGCACAGTTGGGGATGTAATGGGGGGAGATTACGTAGGGACCATCAACCTTGTTAAAAGGTAAAAAAAATACGCGTGTACATCGACCAGAGGTGGAATTGTGTAAAGCAATCGTAATCATTGGACAGTTCATAACGTACGATAAAGTCAGTTAAACAAAGCGTTTGACAAAATAATCGTACGTTATGAACTGTCAAATGATAACGATTGCTTTACACAATTCCACCTCTGAACAGTTTGTAAGCCGCTGCCACGAGTCAGCATGTACCTGCGCCGTTGCACCGTCAACCGGGTTTGTACAGTGAAGTGGGGGGTTTGGGAGGGGGGAAATTTTAGGGCAGGGGGGAATTCAGTGCAGTAGGGGAGTGGGAGGGAGATTTCAGTGCAGTGAGGAGATTTTATCGCTATGGGGGAGTGAGATTTTAGGGTAGGAGGAGTGAGGTTTTGGCGCAGGGGGGAGTGGGAGGGAGGAGGTTGAAAAAATTGGGGGAGAAGTCAGTTAAAGGGGGGAAAAATATCCCTTGATTCCCCTGAGGTACTGTTAACCGGGATTTTTACACCATGGTGATAGTGGGTTTATTTAACGGTAAGGAACTTATTCTTGTTCGATCAACTTACTCAGTTTGTAAATTCAACCGGGATTCAAGGAGAGATGAAGGTAGGCAGGGGAGGGGTATATAGGTGAAAAAAATCCCCCTCTATCGTGTAATGTAATGCAAATGTAATAAAAGGAGATTTTTTTCAATATGGCTTACGTAGAGCCCGTTGATTTAACATTTTTGACCACAGTTCGTTGGTCAGTTAGTTTAGGGTCAAGATTTAAATGCGAATGACATTAATGAGAGGTCGGAATTATAAAAATGAATAGCTCTCAATATTTTTTAAATAAATCTCAAGTATCTGTTTTAAAGAGTGGGAGTGGGGTCAAAAATGTTTAGAGCCTACGGTCTAATACTCTATAGTTCATTCAACTTATGATGGTGATTTAGACAGATAAAACGTTTCGTTTTATGATTCTAACTTTCTACGAATAAAAATATTGAGTTGTAAAAATCAATTACTTTTGTGTGTTTTCATCCTTCCAAAATATCAATCACTAATCTTTTTCAATTAACCTAAACAAGAATTTCTAATTATTTATTAGTTTATTATTTAGAAAAAAACGTGAAAAAATATTAAATGAATTGCTTCTGCGTTAGTCGGAACTTTTGCTCATAGGGATGGGACATAAACAATCGCAATAAATCAGTAATCGGCATGGTGGTCATCTTACCATCGAATCACGATTATTATCTCAGGCAGGTCAAAGCTAAGTCAGTACGTGTGCGTTTGCCTTTGATGACGGTTTTGTTTTATGCGATTTCTCCACGTATTGTTTGTTATTGTTATTTTGATGTTTTATTGAATAAAATGCATATATTTAATTCTTTGTGATTTATTTTGTACCACTAAGAATATTCACGTTTATTCCATTTCCAGATAGTTCAAATATAATTTTGATCAAGATTAAAAATCAAACAAATAAAAGGCGATTAGATTTCTATAGAAAATATTCTCGATTCTAAAAAATATCGATTAGGTTTATAAGGAGCGCCTCACTAAATAGAACTGTCATAATCACCATCTTACGCTGAATGGACTATAATGGCATAAGTTAAAGTACCTATGATTGATACAGCTCTAACAATTTATAGGGGATCAAATTGTTATAGTTGAGAGCCCAAGTTAAAGGTACACAGGGTGTCCCAAAATGGATGAACCAAATTTCTGTATTGCTATTTCTTTTTCTGTACATTTGTTTTTATATTTTAAGGGGTAAGTAGGTGATAGATCAAGCCAGCAGTTTCATTCACCCATTCTGGGACAGCCAGGTATTGTTAAGCCTTGATCACACGTACCGAGTAAACGGGCGAGACAGTAAAATGTTTACTCGGTCGAGACAGTTGGGTGAGCGAGTCACATACTCGAGCGCTCGACCGAGCACTCGGCGTAATGTTCATACACACCGAGTATTCGGCCGAGAGCACATATAAAAATATTTAATAAATTACCCGAAGATATTAAAACATTGACATTTACTAAATTTAGAAATAATTTATTAGAATTCTTAAAACAAAAGATGTATTACACAGTCAATGAATTCCTGACAGAAAAATCTTTTCGACATTTTGTACTTGACATCTAAAAATTTCTTAAAATATGACATTGTGTATCATTGACATTGTATGAATCTAATGTAATAATATGTTTGTGCTATTTCAATAATTCATAATCATTTTCTGACATTTGCATGACATTCAATTAATAATGATACTACTTTTTAATATTAAAAACATAACCATATTTTTTGTAATATTTGCACATCGTATGTACGATAGAATATGTTGGAAACTTCTCTTTTTATAACCATTTGTAACCGTATTCTGGCAAATAAATGATTTATTTATTTATTTATTTACTGTTTCGCCCGTTTACTCGGTACGTGTGATCAAGGCTTTAAGGTACAGATCTGCCAGCGAAGTACCTGCATAAGTTATTGTTGTAGGCCGCGTCTGTTCCGTGCTCGTCCGACGCCTCCGAGTCTTCGGCTCGGGCGGGCGCGCCACTGTCCGACGCCTGTGGGAAAGAGAAGGTAGATAGAATATATTATTGTGCAGTCAGCGTCAAACACTTTGTGAGGCATGACACCCAAAGTAGCCAAAAAGTTGTCACAACCTTATTCCAATTGTAACAAAGACGTGTGACCTTTTTGGCTACTTTGGGTGTCACGAACTATTTGACGCTGACTGTACGTAAGGTTCATGCCACAACTGGTGAGCAATAATTGGCACGGTCGTGGCACGGTAGACAAGTAAGGGCACGATGAATTTAGTAGCTATGACAGTGGCTATAACGCTTGTAATCTATTGTCCGCCCTATTTATTGTTTAATGGGAAAACTTACAGCTTAAATAACTTCATACTGTAATTGGTGGGATATAGGGCTCAAATAGTATGCTAAGTAAGTCGCTTGATACTTCATTCTATTTTGACCGTAAACACTATACACATAATACTCAAATTAGCTCAATTCACCTTTATATTCACAGGCTAGTGTCCCTACAAACCATTCTAACCCCTAACACCATACAAATAAAGCTCAAACTCACATGATGCGCGGGCGCAGAGTGGCAGCAAGCTCGCTCGCGACCTCGCGGCACGTGCGCGCCGCCGTCCGACGCGCGTCGTCCGAATGATGACGCTGGAATGAGAATGAAAATTAGATAGAAAAATTTGTTTAGAAGACCATCTAACCACTATTAAACACTACTAAGAAATAAATTAGAAATTATTTATTTTTTAGAAGAGTTTAGGAGTCGGTTTGGTTCTTGAGGAAAGCATAAATGTTGAGAAAGGTTTCGTTAAAAAAATATGTGACGGATGTCGAAAATTGTGTTAGGACTCGTTTCCACGGCAATCAGTTGTGCGTCAATTGACCCCACGACGTCGAAACAATATGTTTTAGGGGTTAAATCAATTTGTCACAGGGGTTGAAGCAATTTGTCATAGGGGTTGAAGCAATTTGTCACAGGGATTGAATGTCCCACCGTGGCCCTGCATGGCGTGTGGTGGCTTGAGCAGGTGCTGGTCTTTCACGCTGAAGTATCGCGGCGGCTGGTGCTGGACGGCCGGCAGTTTGCCGCAGAGGTTCGTGTTGGGCAGTAAAGACACGTTCGCTGGCGCTTGTTGCTGGAATAGAATAAATAACATAAATAGATATACAGAGTGACTAGTAATTAGTGGCGGAGCCGTTGAGGGGAGGTAGTCTAGTGTTATTCTGACAGATATCACTATGAGACCTGCCAGATACGGACAGGACAGGATGGTGGGAAGGAAAGATGGGAAATTGCCACAACGCACTATCAGCAAAAGAACATGATTTATTAAAGATTTTTAAATTATACAAAAGAATTCTTTTGAACGAAATTTTATAAGTTAACTAGAATTAGACATTTCTAACAGTTACAAAACACTTACTACGTACTAGCTAACAGTTACCAAATAGAGGTAGAAAATTTTGTAGCTAAAGCCTAGTCCGTGAGCACGTAGAATTTTGTCCAATGACCCCAAGCTACCCATCCTTATCGCTCGCGCGTAATTATGTTGCTGTCGCGCTCGCACACTCACTGCGGCCGCCCGTCGCACAGTCGCGACAGCAACATAATTACGCGCGAGCGATAAGGATGGGTAGCTTGGGGTCATTGGACAAAATTCTACGTGCTCATAGACCGAACTATAGCTGTGGGATAAACATTTGTGAGTGGGGATGAATATTTTGTGACAGGGGTTGAAAGCCACATGAAGGGGGTTGAAAAGGTTAACTTACGTTGAAGTGCGCGGACACGTACAGCGGGCCTGCGCGCAGGTCGGCCGACGCCGCGCCGCACACGCCCAGCTCGCCACCCTGATGATAAAATACATTATTTGCTTAATACAGGGTGGAATTTTGTAATGCCACCTGGAGGGAAAGTACCCTTAATACTGTAGATAGAAAATTTTACTCAAAGAAAACATTCCTTTATTTTTGAAAAGAAAGAGAACTGCATTCAAAGATTTTTGAATTATTTTCGAAAATTTACCACCATGCCATACAATTTTCTGTAAATAATAACAATAAATTAAGATTTCATGGTTTTCCTTTCATTTGATTTATCAAGTTTGTTTGAGAGATTTCATCCTTATACTTAACCCCAACGATCGATGCAATAAAAATACAGAGTGTAATTATTAACAGATTTTAGTTGGTTCGATTCCCGGGTGTTGCAAGCAAATTTTTGGAAATCTTTGAATACAGTTCTTTTTCATTTCAACAATGAAGGAATGTTTCCTTTGAGTAAAATTCTATCTACAGTATTATGAGTACTTTCCCTCCAGGTGGCATTACAAAATTCCACCCTGTATACTAATATTATAAATGCGAAAGTAACTCTGTCTGTCGTCTCTCTCTCTTTCAAACCACTGAACCGATTTGGATGAAATTTGGCATAGAGATAGTTTGAGTCCCGGGAAAGGACATAGGATAGTTTTTATCCCGGTTTTTGAAACAGGAACGCGCGTGACAAAGTTTTTTCTGTGACAGACAAAATTCCACGCGGGTGAAGCCGCGGGTGGAAAGCTAGTACAAAATAAAATGATGATATCAATTTTCTGACTTCTCCATACCATTTATATGCACATGTTAGTCAGGGCGCTTATACACGGCAAAAATATAGCTCGCCCTACTACTACTTTGAGACAACGAATGGGCTGTTCCACACTGTAAAATATAGATCGTCTCATTCACGAAGACGTGCCCCACCATTCTTCCACTAATGTTTGAGTGTTATCGGTGCACACGCACACTACAATAATGACACTCGGATCAAACTCCCCGCACCCCGCGCGTCTTCGTGGATGAAACGATCTATCATGTACATATATGTATGTATATACAGGGTGGAATTTCGTAATGCCATCTGAAGGGAAAGTACTCTTAATATTGTAGATAGAAAATGTTACTTAAAGAAAAATTCCTTTATTTTGAAAAGAAATAGAACTGCATTCAAAGATTTCCAAAAATTTGCTTGCTACACTCGGGAATCGAACCAACTAAAATCTGTAAAAAATTACACCCTGTATTTTTATTGCATCGAACGTTAGGCTTAAGTATTTTTTTTTTTTTTTATCCACAACGAGGAAGCTCTTGGCCTGTATCTCACCTGATGGTAAGTGACGATCAGGCCGAAGGTGGAAGCGAGCTTCACCCGGAATCCNCGCTAGTTAATATTAAAGTAATAAAAGTAAAAAATTAAATAGTATCAAGATCGTTTATTCCAATTTCCCCAGTATTGCTATCAACAAAGTTTATTTTCCCTATTTGCCATGAGATTCTGGTACACCTATAACCGACTAAATGGGACGTTTTTTTAAAAACACAATTTTTGTAAACACAATTTACTAAAAGCATACCACTAAACACTAAAATAGATAACAAAATGTTCTTGAAAATTTTGTGACTGGGGATGAAAATTTTGTGACAGGGGTTGAAAGCCACATGAAGGGGGTTGAAAAGGTTAAACAACTTACGTTGAAGTGCGCGGACACGTACAGCGGGCCTGCGCGCAGGTCGGCCGACGCCGCGCCGCAAACGCCCAGCTCGCCTCCCTGTATCATCAGCATCATCAGTTTATTTAGTCTCCATTGTCGGCCGTTTGGTGTAGTGGTTCAGAACGGACTACTATGCCGAGAGGTCCCGGGTTCGATTCCCGGCCGGGCAGAAATTGAAATGATGAATTTTAATTTCTGTGACGGGTCTGGGTGTTACTATGTATAATATGTATGTATTTTAAAAAAAAGTATATAAGTAGTGTATCCGTCAAGCTAGCACCCATAACACAAGTATTAAGTTGCTTACTTTGGGGCTAGCTGGCGCTGTGTGAAATTGTCCAAAGATTTAATTAATTAATTTAATTGCACGAGCTTGCTGAACTTAGTTAAATAAATAAATAAATACCTCAGAGCAGGACACAATGCTGAGCGGATGCCATTTTGGTCCACAAATGTGCAAGTATTGTAAACTGTATACTGTAATAATTTAATATGTTGGGCCAAATAAAATATTTTCTTTCTTTCTTTCTTCAAATATCCTTAGACATTTTACACTGCGCTTCTAGTCTCAAACTAAGCGAAGCTTGTACTATGGGTACTAGACAACGGATATAAACATACTTAAATACTTGTTTTTTTGTAAATACATACTTATTATACATAGAAAACACCCAGTCCGATACAAACAAATATGTTCATGCACACAAATGTTTGTACTGTGCGGGAATCGAACCCGCTACCTCCGGAATAGTAGTCCGTTTCGAACCACTACACCAAACGGCCGACTAGTTACTCCTCAATTATGGACAACCTTGCTTCACTGGGCTGTTAGTTACAAAGGTTTGTGTAACACTAAAGCCCGGTCTGCGAGCACGTAGAATTTTGTCCAATGACCCCAAGCTAACCATCCTTATCGCTCGCGCGTAATTATATTGCCAGGAGTTCAACCATCTCAATATACCGAGGCAAATGGTTTAATCTAAAGTCCGGTCGCCGAGCACGTAGAATTTCGTTCAATGACCCCAAGCTGTCACGACTGTGCGACAGCAATATAATTACACGCGAGCGATAAGAATGGGTAGCTTGGTAAATAAAAGAAATACATTATCCATATTATAAGTTTTTTGTTACATATTCTAATTTTAATACATTTTCGAGGAAGAATGCCCGCATTTTGAATTAAGGAAAAGTATAAGTTAAATATGTAGGGTCGTATTATTTCCAAACGAGGAAGATAGATATAGGGGGTTAGAGATGTTGGCTTACCGTTAAACAGGGTGTAACAAAATACAAGTCAAAATATTATTAACATAGTTTTTTGTCAATAAAATCTTTGTAATATTTTGTTGATACCAAATCAACTCTTTTTTATTTGATATGTTATCAACACAATTTTAATTTGAAAATTTTAATGTTCATTTTAATTTAATTTTAGATTGACAAATAATTTATTTATTTTATTTTATGAATTGTTTAATGATTGTTTGTAACGCCTTCACTGGGCGTCACATGTACAGTCACGGAATGAAAAGGTTCGTCAGTTTTCAAATTGATTCCTTCAACGAATCGCGAGCACATAATATATTACCTTTTGAAACTATGTTACAGAATAATCTCGAGTTAGAGAAAATAATCTTTAACTGTTCGTCAGTAAAGTTCAAAATTATTCAGATCAAAGTTGTTTGACGATTTATCTTGTCAAGGTTATTATGATTGATTAACTAAAACCTTCTTGTTGGTTCAACCTGCCATTATTATTTCTATTAAATAAAAAACACTACACTTTGTAACACTGCATGGGATAGAAAATTAAACAAGCAAAACCTTATTCGTTAGCAAACGTCATATTTATTTAAATGTTAGCAGCACTGTTTCTTGCACGGTTATGTTGGCAGGTTTGACTCTTACAGTACCTAGTGCAAGCGAAAACCGACACTAAGGTGACGAACCTTTTCATTCCGCGACTGTACAATATTATGTTCTACGGTTATGGTTATGGTTAAGGTGCAAAGTGCTGACCTGTCCGTGCCTGCAGTCGCCGGGCCCGACGGTGTGTCTGCGCGCGGCGTGCGGTTCTTCATGGCGCGTTTGACACGTCTCTTCTGCCGCCGGCGCCGAGCCGTCGCCGAACTGGGAAAAAAGAGATATTTATTTAAGAAATCCCCCGTAAAAGTGATGGTAACAAAGGACTAAGGCCCGCCAGATACGGACAGCTTGAAGCAGCTATAGTCTGGTCTGCGAGGTCTACTGTCGCGGCGGGCGACAGCAGTGAGTGTGCGAGCGCGACAGCAACATGATTACGCGCGAGCGATAAGGATGGGTAGCTTGGGGTCATTGGACAAAATTCTACGTGCTCACGGACCAGACTATAGCACTTGGTAACACGGTGCAATCGACTATGACTGCAAGAGCGTTATCAACACACCCAGAAACAGTGCTTGCGCAAATGTAGTTTGCGTAGTTTCTGTGTCCAGTTGCTTCCACTTGAGATTACATGCAACGATTCGATATCCTATGATGGCGTGCTGTGTTGGTAACTAGATATCTACTAATAAATAATGTAAGTGCATTCGACTTCCAATTTAGCAACCCATAGAAAATATGGATGACTATTAAATACCTACATAGTTCATAAAATTAAACAATTTAATTAAGACCTATCCAAAATATTTGTGAAACGAACATTGAAATTGGTCTAAAAAGGCAAAAAAAATTGCATTTAACATGCTCGCGAACGAGCATTCGCCAACGAACGCGCTCGCGTACCTTCTCCAAGCTGTCTGCGCGCTCGGTCAAGTAGTCCACGTTGACGCACGGGATCGACACCAGGCACTCCTGCGTGGACTCCTCGGCCTCCATTTGTTCTTCTTCGGGATTCTAGAAGGGAGAAAAAGATTCTAGAAGATTATTCTGGATATAAGACTCTTTATAGATATAGGTGTTCGTAGCTGGCCATTTAAAATGACATCGTACAGCAAAAACAATAAGGCTGGGTTGCACCATCTTACTTTAACTTTGACAAACGTCAAAAATCTGTCAAATCCCATACAAAAAAACAGCGGTTATCGTCATAGTTACTGTCAAAATTAGGTGGTGCAACTGAGCCTTAGTATCAAAGTACATCAATCATTAACCCTCTTTAATTTACTGTGGCAAATGGAGGATTTGTCCTACACTCCCCACGCTGGCCAGACGGGTTGGGGAGGCCTGATGCTCGCATATTTGTCACTTAGTCGCCTTTAATGACATAGGTAAATGATTTCAAACACATAATTTAACACGAGAACAGGTAATAATATTTGGAATCTTACCTTACAACTAGTGAGATCTAAAGGCTGGCCGGTGGTGGAGTCGAGCGAGTCTGCAACAAGTTATTTATTTATTTAAAGGTAACCTACAACAGAATACAATTTCAAATTTTTTTGGCCCAATGACCCTCTAAGAAATCAAGAACAGCCCTAATAGTGGCTGTAAAGGCCAAATTGTAGCCCTAAAGGCCAACTAGTTGCCCTAAAGTCTAATTAGTAGTCCCATATGCCAATTAATGGTCTTAAAAGCCCAAGAGTAGTCCTAAAAGTCCCATTAGTAGCCCAAAAGGCCAACGACTGGCCGTAAAGGCCTAATAGTGGCCCTAACGTACAATATGTAGTACTATCAGTCAATTAATGGTCTCAAACGCCTAAAAGTAGTCCTAAAGTCCCTTTATTGGGCCAAAAATGTCTCTTAAAGCCCACTTATGGTCCTAAAGGTCTTAATTATTCCCACCTCTGTGCTGAAGGCTGTTCCTGGCGCTGGTCCTCTGCTGCAACTTGTCCATGAGCAGGTGGTATATCGCGTAGATGTGGTCGAACCTTTTCTTTTACACTAAAGGTCTTAAATTGCTAAAGACTGGCCCTAAAGGTCAAATAGTGGCCTTCTAAAAAACTAACAGTAGCCATTGCCAAAAAGTGTTTCTAAAGACTAAAGGCCAAAAAGTGATCCCTTAAAACATCAAGAGAAGTCGTAAAGGCCCAAGACTGGCTCTAAAGGCCAAAAAATGGCTCTGAAGGCTATGAAATGGCCGTTAAGGCCAGAATATGGCTCTGAAGGCCTACTAATGGTCGTAAAGGTCTTAATTATTCCCACCTCTGTGCTGCAGGCTGTTTCTAGCGCTGGTCCTCTGCTGCAACTTGTCCATGAGCAGGTGGTATATCGCGTAGATGTGGTCGAACCGCTCCTCGCGCACATTATACCTAAGAGTAGTCTTTATTGCTAAAGACTGGCCCTAAAAGCTAAGAGATGGGACTAAAGGCCAAAGAGTGGTCTCTTATAACACCAAGAGTAGTCGTAAAGGCCCACAAATGGCTCTAAGAGCTGAAGACTGGCTTTTAAGGTCAAGAAATGCCTCTAAAGGCTAAAGAGTGACCAAAAAATGTCTTTAGAGATCAAATAGCAGTCCTAAAGGCCTAAGACTAGGCCAAAAGATGATTAGAAGCCATATACATCTCCTAAATTATGCCGTATCTTTTGTATATTTCTTTCTTTCTTTTCTCGTCGTGTGGCGTACAATAAAGTGTGTTCTATCTATGTCCCACCTCTGTGCTGCAGGCTGTTCCTGGCGCTGGTCCTCTGCTGCAACTTGTCCATGAGCAGGTGGTATATCGCGTAGATGTGGTCGAACCGCTCCTCGCGCACATTACACCTAAGAAAGTCTTTAATTGCTAAAGACTGGCCCTAAAAGCTAAGGGATAGGACTAAAGTTTCAAGAGTGGTCCCTTAGAACACCAAGAGTAGACTATAAAGGCCCACTAGTGGCTGTAAAGGCCTAGCACTGGCCTAAGAGGACAATAAATTGTCCAAAGGCTAATAGAGTGGTCCTAGAGGCCAAATACTGGCTTTAGAATCCAATGACTGGCCTTAGAGTCCAAACATTTTTTTGAAAATCAATTAGTAGTCCTAAAGGCCTAAGACTAGGCCAAAAGATGGTTAGAGGGTAAATATATTCCCACCTCTGTGCTGTAGGCTGTTCCTGGCGCTGGTTCTCTGCTGCAACTTGTCCATGAGCAGGTGGTATATCGCGTAGATGTGGTCGAACCTCTCCTCTTGGACTGACTGGAAGAGAAAAACCAAAATTAAAATAATTAAACATCGTTGGGGCAAAATTTTCACAATGACCGGTTGGTGGCGGTCTGCATTCAGCGCAATCCCGCTACCTTTATGAGGTCGTCGGTCCACCTTGTGGGTCATTGTAGAAATCATTGGGGGAGGCCTATGTTCAGCAGTGGATGTCATATGGCTTAAATGATGATGGGGCAAAATTGCCTTATCACACTGCAAAACAAACACACTGCGAAGTTGGACTTGCCATCTGTTTTGCCTTGTTCGCTCTAGTCGAGTAATTTAGTGGAGTGGCGAGTAATTTAGTGGAGTGGCGAGTAATTTAGTGGAGTGGCGAGTAATTTAGTCGAGTGGCGGGAAATTTAGTCTAGTGGCGAGTTAAGTGGAGTGGCGGGAAATTTAGTCGAGTGGCGATTAATTAATTGGATTGGCAAGTCATTTAGTCGAGTATTTAGTATTTTAGTAGCTACTTAAACGTGTCTGAATACAAAAAAAAATATCGAGGAAGATATTAAATCGAATCGTTCATCACACTGTCACACATGTGGCACACTGGCTCACTGACGCTAGTGTAGAGGGAGGGTTCCTTAAGCCTTGTTCACACTAGTCGAGTAATTTAATAGAGTACCTCGCGAAAAGGTTCAGCCAAACCAACGCGATCACACGCGATCAGCCAGCGTGCAGCGTTGGCGATCAAGTAGACTTCCCTTAGTGCCTCACCTGGAACACGTGGTCTGCGGTGGATGTGGGCCAGCAGCGTGTCGTGCCAGGCCGCCGCGCGGGACATATGAGGCACACTGTCACCCTTGTGGCACACTGGCCCACTGACGCTAGTATGGACTTCCCTTGTGTCTCACCTGGAACACGCTAGTGTGGCAGACTTCTCTCTCTTGTGTCTCACCTGGAACACGCTAGTGTGGCAGACTTCCCTTGTGTCTCACCTGGAACACGCTAGTGTGGCAGACTTCTCTCTCTTGTGTCTCACCTGGAACACGCTAGTGTGGCAGACTTCCCTTGTGTCTCACCTGNCTTTATTGTTGATAACATGTACTATGACAGGAAATATCTGGGATACAATAGGAGAAATAAGCCAATTAAAAAGATTTCAATAAAAAAAGACAAACATAAAAAAACTAATATTTACTCGTTACAGCATATACATNCATAGGAAATGTAACATACCTTTGCAAAACTCATTTGACTCACTGACTGATGAAAGTGACACAGACTGTTCTATTCTACAAAATGACACCCTCAATAGAAGTTGTCCAGAGATATTACAAAATAACAGACAGGAAATAGACGAATTAAAAAATGAAATGCAACAACTTCGAGAAAAACTAAATACAGCCAACAACGAAATAGACAATCTTTTACTAGTAAATAGTAGTCTAAAAGAACAGATATCTGATTACTCGCTTCAAATCAAGCAATTACAATCGATATGTAGATCTACACCTAAATCTACACCAAAAAGTAATAAAAGTACGAAAAACTTAAACAAAAGTCAAAAAATCCAAATAGAGAAGACTGTACAAATAAATTTGGCTGAGAATTTTGAAAATAGTACACCGGAAAAGATCGTGCCATCGATGAAAAAAACCAACGGCGTGGAAGAAAGGAAGACAGCATCGACTCAGAAGAATACACAAGAGAAAACAAACACACCGTCCCAGAGGAATAGCATAATACACATTTTAGGCGGACAACAATGTAGTGGAATAGGTCCAGCGTTATATCGGTCTAGGGAAAAAACAAATTTCGAGAAATATTGTATAAAATCATGTATAAAACCTAACGCACCTTGTAATGAAGTACTAAAATTGACCGACACGTATGGGCGAGTGTGATAGTAATCCGATCAAGTTAATTGCAGAATTGTGTTCGTTCTTAAAATTTAACCATAGACAAACTGTAATTGTACTAAGTGTAAATCATAGCAGATACTTAAATGAAAAACATTTAAATGAAACTTTGAAAATATATTGCAAACATTTCGATAATTGCAAATTCGTAGAAGTCGATGACACTGATTGTTATAATGGAACTTACCTGTATAGAGTGTGCCAGAAAATAAACTTTATTATTGATAACATGTACTATGACAGGAAATATCTGGGATACAATAGGAGAAATAAGCCAATTAAAAAGATTTCAATAAAAAAAGACAAACATAAAAAAACTAATATTTACTCGTTACAGCATATACATAAAATAAATAATTTACCTAATNGGAATATTACTGGATGATCGCTGCTCGTGGAAGAGTCATATCGATAAAATGTGCACTAAATTAAATTCGTTTGCTTATGCACTATGGCGGCTAACAAAAATCTGTGAGAAAAAAGTTGCCATACAGGCATACCATGGTTATGTGAGTTCTCTTCTCAGGTACGCCATTATTCTTTGGGGCAACTCATGCCATGTTCAACGGGTACTTATAGCCCAAAAGCAGTGTATTCGGGCAATCTGCAATGTTGATATTTTAACATCTTGCAGACCACTTTTTAAGGAACTCAAATTGCTGACTGTCCCGTGTTTGTATATTTATGAGCTATGTGTATTTGTCAAAAGCAACCTCAACTTATTTCAAACCAAAAAAGACGTTTGCAATTTTAATATAAGACGTCCTCATAAATTAAACCTTCCTATCGTGACGACATCTTTATGTATTAATAATGCGTACTGTATGGCTATTAAGGTTTATAATAGGTTGGACGAAGAAATGAAATCTTTGCCGTTAAATATTTTTAAAGGAAAATTAAAATCATGGCTGATTGGGAAGGGTTTTTACACCATTAAGGAATACTTTGATGCTTTTAAGTTTCAGTAGTATGTACCCACATGTTTCCTGTTTTGTTGCATGTATCTATTAAATTGCGTAGATTAAGTAGTTGTAAGCTATTTGCATGCCAGTTGTGGTGATTTGTGCGAACTATTTTTATATGGACATCTGCTGTGTACCGCTTATCAAGCAAATAAATGAATTTTGATTTGATTTGATTTGATTTAACGGCCAAAGACTGGCTCTAAAGTCCAATGAGTAATAATATTGGCCAATCAATGGTCTTAAAAGCCCAAAAGTAGACCTAAAAGTCCAACTAGTGGGCCAAAAATGTCTCTAAAAGTAATAAGAGTAGCTTTAAATGTCAACTACTGAACTACTGGGCCAAAAATGTCTCTTAAGGCCTACTAGTGGTCAAATATGTCCCACCTCTGTGCTGCAGGCTGTTCCTGGCGCTGGTCCTCTGCTGCAACTTGTCCATGAGCAGGTGGTATATCGCGTAGATGTGGTCGAACCTCTCCTCTTGGACTGACTGGAAGAGAAAAACCAAAATTAAAATAATTAAACATCGTTGGGGCAAAATTTTCACAATGACCGGTTGGTGGCGGTCTGCATTCAGCGCAATCCCGCTACCTTTATGAGGTCGTCGGTCCACCTTGTGGGTCATTGTGGAAATCATTGGGGAGGCCTATGTTCAGCAGTGGACGTCCTATGGCTTAAATGATGATGGGGCAAAATTGCTTTATCACACTGCAAAACAAACAAACTGTAAAGTTGGACTTGCCGTCTGTTTTGTCTTGTTCGCACTCCTCAAGTAATTTAGTCGAGTGTCGAGTCATTTAGTCGAGTGGCGGGAAATTTTTTTGAGTGGCGGGAAATTTAGTCAAGTGGCGAGTAATTAAGTGAATTGGCAAGTCATTTAGTCGAGTGGCGAGACATTTAGTATTTAGTAGCTACTTAAACGTGTCTGAATACAAAAAAAAAAATATCGAGTAAGATATTAAATCGAGTCGTTCATCACACTGTCACACATGTGGCACACTGGCTCACTGACGCTAGCGTAGAGGAAGGGTTCCTTAAGCCTTGTTCGCACTAGTCGAGTAATTTAATAGAGTACCTCGCGAAAAGGTCCAGCCAAACCAACGCGATCACACGCGATCAGCCGGCGTGCAGCGTTGGCGATCAAGTAGACTGCCCTTAGTGTCTCACCTGGAACACGTGGTCCGCGGTGGATGTGGGCCAGCAGCGTGTCGTGCCATGCCGCCGCGCGGGACAAGTGAGGTACACTGTTACCCTTGTGGCACACTAGCCCACTGACACTAGTGTGGACTTCCCTTGTGTCTCACCTGGAACACGCTAGTGTGGCAGACTTCCCTTGTGTCTCACCTGGAACACGCTAGTGTGGCAGACTTCCCTTGTGTCTCACCTGGAACACGCTAGTGTGGCAGACTTCCCTTGTGTCTCACCTGGAACACGCTAGTGTGGCAGACTTCCCTTGTGTCTCACCTGGAACACGCTAGTGTGGCAGACTTCCCTTGTGTCTCACCTGGAACACGCTAGTGTGGCAGACTTCCCTTGTGTCTCACCTGGAACACGCTAGTGTGGCAGACTTCCCTTGTGTCTCACCTGGAACACGCTAGTGTGGCAGACTTCCCTTGTGTCTCACCTGGAACACGCTAGTGTGGCAGACTTCCCTTGTGTCTCACCTGGAACACGCTAGTGTGGCAGACTTCCCTTGTGTCTCACCTGGAACACGCTAGTGTGGCAGACTTCCCTTGTGTCTCACCTGGAACACGCTAGTGTGGCAGACTTCCCTTGTGTCTCACCTGGAACACGCTAGTGTGGCAGACTTCCCTTGTGTCTCACCTGGAACACGCTAGTGTGGCAGACTTCCCTTGTGTCTCACCTGGAACACGCTAGTGTGGCAGACTTCCCTTGTGTCTCACCTGGAACACGCTAGTGTGGCAGACTTCCCTTGTGTCTCACCTGGAACACGCTAGTGTGGCAGACTTCCCTTGTGTCTCACCTGGAACACGCTAGTGTGGCAGACTTCCCTTGTGTCTCACCTGGAACACGCTAGTGTGGCAGACTTCCCTTGTGTCTCACCTGGAACACGCTAGTGTGGCAGACTTCCCTTGTGTCTCACCTGGAACACGCTAGTGTGGCAGACTTCCCTTGTGTCTCACCTGGAACACGCTAGTGTGGCAGACTTCCCTTGTGTCTCACCTGGAACACGCTAGTGTGGCAGACTTCCCTTGTGTCTCACCTGGAACACGCTAGTGTGGCAGACTTCCCTTGTGTCTCACCTGGAACACGCTAGTGTGGCAGACTTCCCTTGTGTCTCACCTGGAACACGCTAGTGTGGCAGACTTCCCTTGTGTCTCACCTGGAACACGCTAGTGTGGCAGACTTCCCTTGTGTCTCACCTGGAACACGCTAGTGTGGCAGACTTCCCTTGTGTCTCACCTGGAACACGCTAGTGTGGCAGACTTCCCTTGTGTCTCACCTGGAACACGCTAGTGTGGCAGACTTCCCTTGTGTCTCACCTGGAACACGCTAGTGTGGCAGACTTCCCTTGTGTCTCACCTGGAACACGCTAGTGTGGCAGACTTCCCTTGTGTCTCACCTGGAACACGCTAGTGTGGCAGACTTCCCTTGTGTCTCACCTGGAACACGCTAGTGTGGCAGACTTCCCTTGTGTCTCACCTGGAACACGCTAGTGTGGCAGACTTCCCTTGTGTCTCACCTGGAACACGCTAGTGTGGCAGACTTCCCTTGTGTCTCACCTGGAACACGCTAGTGTGGCAGACTTCCCTTGTGTCTCACCTGGAACACGCTAGTGTGGCAGACTTCCCTTGTGTCTCACCTGGAACACGCTAGTGTGGCAGACTTCCCTTGTGTCTCACCTGGAACACGCTAGTGTGGCAGACTTCCCTTGTGTCTCACCTGGAACACGCTAGTGTGGCAGACTTCCCTTGTGTCTCACCTGGAACACGCTAGTGTGGCAGACTTCCCTTGTGTCTCACCTGGAACACGCTAGTGTGGCAGACTTCCCTTGTGTCTCACCTGGAACACGCTAGTGTGGCAGACTTCCCTTGTGTCTCACCTGGAACACGCTAGTGTGGCAGACTTCCCTTGTGTCTCACCTGGAACACGCTAGTGTGGCAGACTTCCCTTGTGTCTCACCTGGAACACGCTAGTGTGGCAGACTTCCCTTGTGTCTCACCTGGAACACGCTAGTGTGGCAGACTTCCCTTGTGTCTCACCTGGAACACGCTAGTGTGGCAGACTTCCCTTGTGTCTCACCTGGAACACGCTAGTGTGGCAGACTTCCCTTGTGTCTCACCTGGAACACGCTAGTGTGGCAGACTTCCCTTGTGTCTCACCTGGAACACGCTAGTGTGGCAGACTTCCCTTGTGTCTCACCTGGAACACGCTAGTGTGGCAGACTTCCCTAGTGTCTCACATGGAAAACCCTAGTATGGACTTCCCTTGTGTCTCACCTGGAACACGCTAGTGTGGCAGACTTCCCTTGTGTCTCACCTGGAACACGCTAGTGTGGCAGACTTCCCTTGTGTCTCACCTGGAACACGCTAGTGTGGCAGACTTCCCTTGTGTCTCACCTGGAACACGCTAGTGTAAGAGACTTCTCTTGTGTCTCACCTGGAACACGCTAGTGTGGCAGACTTCCCTAGTGTCTCACCTGGAACACCCTAGTATGGTCTTCCCTTGTGTCTCACCTGGAACACGTGGTCCGCGGTGAGCGCGGGCAATGCCAGCATGTGTGCCAGCACGGTGTCGTGCCAGGCCGCCGCGCGGGACATATGAGGCACACTGTCACCCTTGTGGCACACTAGCCCACTGACGCTAGTGTGGCAGACTTCCCTTGTGTCTCACCTGGAACACGTGGTCCGCGGTGAGCGCGGGCAATGCCAGCATGTGTGCCAGCACCGTGTCGTGCCAGGCCGCCGCGCGGGACATATGAGGCACATGGGAACCCGCGTGGCACGAGCACTGCCCGATTGACGCGTCTGGAATGAAAATTGAGATTGTTAAAACATTAATTTGCAAAAGCCTATAAAGGCAGTGAAAGTCAGGCTTTCTACCAAGGCAGAACGGAACGAACGGTGAGTTGAATAACCAATCAGATTTCTTATTTCCACTTCTCGTCATCGTTTCGCGCTGTTGTCAAATTCTATAGAAATATTTGACGGCCCAACACATCTCCACTCTGCTTCACTCTGATAGAAACCGGGCTTTAAGGACATAATGAAAATAAATGACATACCTACAAGTCACCTAAAAGTGTGAGTATTTAGTTAATATTTTATTAACATACTGACTTAGTTGTTGTATGTATGGCATTATCAAATTGTGGTAGCCCTGGTTGTGTCGTGGCACTAGCCCTGCTGTGTCATGGCACTAGCCCTAGCTGTGTCATGGCTACTGTTGAAAATGACTAAAGCGGCTGAATTTGACTGAGCGTCATTTACGGTAAAATTGATCAAAAACGGTCAAAAACAAGTCATAAACTGTAACTGTACAGTAATATTGAGTCAAATTGACTGAATTTGACCGTTTTAGACCGTCGTGACCGGTCAGATTCAGTCAATTTACATCTCGCATCACTACTGACCTGGTTGTGTGGCGTGTTCTGTGTGCGCGGCCAGCCACCGGTGGCGCGCCACGCCACACGACTGTCGTTTGTCGGCATCTACTACCAGCATGTTGTGTCGTGGCACTAGCCCTGGCTGTGACTGGAACTAGACCTGCATGTGACGAGGGCTCGCACTGTGTACACCAGTGCTGGCTGTGTCGTGGCGCTAGTAGTGGCTGTGTCGTGGCACTAGTAGTGGCTGTGTCGTGGCACTAGTATAGGCTGTGAATGGCGCTGGTATTGGCTGTGAATGGCGCTAGTATTGGCTGTGTCATGATGCTAGTAGTGGCTGTGTCGTGGCGCTAGTAGTGGCTGTGTCGTGGCACTAGTAGTGGCTGTGTCGTGGCACTAGTAGTGGCTGTGTCGTGGCGCTAATAGTGGTTGTGTCGTGGCACTAGTGCTGGCTGTGTCATGGCACTATTGACCTGGCAGTATCGTGGCACTAGTACTGGTTGTCGTGGCACTTTTACTGGCTGTGAATGGCGCTAGTAGTGGCTGTGTCGTGGCGCTGGTAGCGGCTGTGTCGTGGCACTAGTACTGGTTGTCGTGGCACTTTTACTGGCTGTGAATGACGCTAGTAATGGCTGTGTCGTGGCGCTGGTAGTGGCTGTGTCGTGGCGCTGGTAGCGGCTGTGTCGTGGCACTGACCTGGTTGCGTGGCGTGTTCTGTGTGCGCGGCCAGCCAGCGGTGGCGCGCCACGCCCCGCAGCGACAGCCGCTTGTCGGCGTCTACTTGCACAGTTACCTCGGAATGTGCGATAACAATTTTGTGACCCGAGCGGGCAATCGCTAGTTCAATTTTTACACGAAGCCCCATATAACATTTTGTAGCGATTCTTTATTGGGTTTCAAATTTACTAAAATGCGACGTTGCCAAACGAGCGCTACGGATGCGGGTAAGCTAAGCAATACTCAATCCTAAACGCTTTACATAAAGCTTGGTTTGCTAGGGCAAACATCTACAGTGGTGCGCCGACGCTGCTTAGACCCGAAAAATGAATGAATGGGGGCGTAGCTTAATCGAGCGTGTGTGTGCAAACAATTTAGGCCCTTAAGGTGTCAAGGCGTCCGAGTCCCCGATAGTACGTCAGTCAGAGAGGCAAGCGACGATTTAAGCTTCAATGGATTTCCAGTCCTGCACTGCCCGCATTCAGGCACCTCCCGCGACCTTCACCAGATCGTCGATCCCCCTAGTGGAAGTCCCACACTACGTCTACCGTCGCCACTCAGAGAACTTTTCTGCTCCAGCCGTCATCAGCTCTGCGAGCTATGTGCCCCGCCCACTGCCACTTTTGAGTTGTCGGTCACTTTGGTTCTCCTGCGGATCTCCTCATTTCTGATTCGATCACGCAGGGAAACTCCGAGCATAGCGCGCTCCATCGCTCATTGGGTGACTTTGAGCCTTCTTATGAGGCCCTTAGTAAGCGACCACGTCTTTTACTTCGCAGCGGTACCTACTTCCTACTAATATTTTGAATGCGAAAGTTTGGATGTCTGGATATTTGTTACTCTTTCACGCAAAAACTACTAAAAGGATTTTGTTGAAACTTTACAGTATTATTGTTTGTAACCCAGATTAACATATAGGGTGAAGCAAAAGCTAGTTAAACCATAAAGAAGATATGTTTGTCCAGTTCACACTCACCCTGCGACATGAAGTAAGGTATCCGGAACTTGCCCGCTAACACTACGCTGCGTAACTCGTGTAGTGTGCCGCCGTCGAACGGAAGTGCGCCGCACACTAGCACGTACAGAACCACGCCTAGTGACTGCAAGAAAGAGAGAGATGATGAAAAACTATAAAACTCATTTTATTTTTGCAAGTAGGCACTTTTACTCGTCCCTGTATTAACCCAACAACTGTAGGCAATAAATGGGCTAGTGCTGAGAAGAAGTATTTGGTACAAAAACATTATTACAACAATAATATTATATAGCCTGACCAGGAACATAAAAACCCTGGCATAGAGGCGCGTCAATTGCATTTGATAGTGCAACACTGAGTACAGTCGTACCTGTGTTAAATTAATAAGCCAACTTTATGTATCAGGATTCAGGATTACGGGCTAATTTGATATTTTCATAAATTAACGAAAAAATATTACTATAGGTAACCTGGTTTAAATAAATTAAATGAAACCATCAATCGAGCTAGTAGGATTTATTTTATTATTCATCAATAATCAAATTCAGAACTTGAATATTCAACTGCAATGTCTGCTCATGAACGCTTCAAACTCGGTACTTCTTTCCCAATTCCATAAAATTCAACACTTAGACAGTGACAAAAAAATTTAAAATTGGTAGTTGAAACAAACCAGACCTGCTGTGTCGTGGCACTGACCTGGTTGCGTGGCGTGTTCTGTGTGCGCGGCCAGCCAGCGGTGGCGCGCCACGCCCCGCAGCGACAGCCGCTTGTCGGCGTCTACTACCGGCAAGTTGTGTCGTGGCACTAGTCCTGCTGTGTCGTGGCACCAGCGCTGCTGTGTCGTGGCACTGACCTGGTTGCGTGGCGTGTTCTGTGTGCGCGGCCAGCCAGCGGTGGCGCGCCACGCCCCGCAGCGACAGCCGCTTGTCGGCGTCTACTACCGGCAAGTTGTGTCGTGGCACTAGTCCTGCTGTGTCGTGGCACTAGCCCTGCTGTGTCGTGGCACTGACCTGGTTGCGTGGCGTGTTCTGTGTGCGCGGCCAGCCAGCGGTGGCGCGCCACGCCCCGCAGCGACAGCCGCTTGTCGGCGTCTACTACCGGCAAGTTGTGTCGTGGCACTAGTCCTGCTGTGTCGTGGCACTAGCCCTGCTGTGTCGTGGCACTGACCTGGTTGCGTGGCGTGTTCTGTGTGCGCGGCCAGCCAGCGGTGGCGCGCCACGCCCCGCAGCGACAGCCGCTTGTCGGCGTCTACTACCGGCAAGTTGTGTCGTGGCACTAGTCCTGCTGTGTCGTGGCACTAGCCCTGCTGTGTCGTGGCACTGACCTGGTTGCGTGGCGTGTTCTGTGTGCGCGGCCAGCCAGCGGTGGCGCGCCACGCCCCGCAGCGACAGCCGCTTGTCGGCGTCTACTACCGGCAAGTTGTGTCGTGGCACTAGTCCTGCTGTGTCGTGGCACTAGCCCTGCTGTGTCGTGGCACTGACCTGGTTGCGTGGCGTGTTCTGTGTGCGCGGCCAGCCAGCGGTGGCGCGCCACGCCCCGCAGCGACAGCCGCTTGTCGGCGTCTACTACCGGCAAGTTGTGTCGTGGCACTAGTCCTGCTGTGTCGTGGCACTAGCCCTGCTGTGTCGTGGCACTGACCTGGTTGCGTGGCGTGTTCTGTGTGCGCGGCCAGCCAGCGGTGGCGCGCCACGCCCCGCAGCGACAGCCGCTTGTCGGCGTCTACTACCGGCAAGTTGTGTCGTGGCACTAGTCCTGCTGTGTCGTGGCACTAGCCCTGCTGTGTCGTGGCACTGACCTGGTTGCGTGGCGTGTTCTGTGTGCGCGGCCAGCCAGCGGTGGCGCGCCACGCCCCGCAGCGACAGCCGCTTGTCGGCGTCTACCACCAGCATGTGACGGATTAGGTGCTCGCATTCTGTACCAAGGGAATTAGATGTTACAAATTATACTAAGTTTATTGCGAAGAATATCAGCAAGACTTGTAGCGAGATCAAACGGCAAGCTTAAGACCGAACGAGATGGAGGACTGTTGTGGACGCCCTCCGCCCCATTTCGTCGCTTGCCTCTCTAACTGACGTAACTGACATTTTGCAAAAATTTCAGGCGATTAGACAGATCGATTCGTCTTGCAAAATTGATTATGATGGTGTAGATAACTCAGTTTAGAAAAAAATGTATGTACTATCGAGGACTCTTCCGCCTGACCACTTTGTAGAAATTTTTGCGTAAGCGCATCGCTCCGGTCACGTGCTCACCCCGTCTCTAATTGGTTACGCATTTTACTATATTTTTACTACGACCAATAAGAGACAATCAGGGCTTAGGTTGCAATACGAAATACCATTGTGCACTTTATTGTCATACGGTTAAGGTTTAAAACGAAATGTTTCTTTTTCTTCAATCTTTCTTAGTTTTAGGCTGAGTTGCACCAAGCCCTGCTGTGTCGTGGCACTGACCTGGTTGCGTGGCGTGTTCTGTGTGCGCGGCCAGCCAGCGGTGGCGCGCCACGCCCCGCAGCGACAGCCGCTTGTCGGCGTCTACNAAGTATCTATTAGGGACGGTGTACAATCATCATACATTTAATGCATGTCATTTTTTACGCAGTCGCTAGCGGGTGACAATCGACCCTGTATATGATACGCACTTAGCCAATTTTTTTTCATAAGATTTAAACCCACATTTCTGACAAACTCTATTTTTCTATTTCATGCGGCATAAATTACGTGATATTTCCTGAGCCCCCCCCTCTCCCCCACGTGAGATTTAGTGAGGTTTTTGTTGACCCCCTCCCCCCCCCTAAAAGTCTCACGTAATTTATGGACGCCCCCTTATATGAACTTATGAGTTGTTCGAAATAAAAACTTTTTATTTANGATGATTGATTGAAATAAATATTTTTATTCAAAGAAGTACTACCCACTTATTAATAAAAAGTTACACCTAGGAAGAACCTTGGATTAAAATGACATTTCCATACCAAATGACAATTTAAGCCAGAGTTCAACTAGGGTGTAACTTTTATTAATAAAGGGGTTAAAGTTTTATTACTTCTTAGGGTTTTATTATGGGTTGAAGCCACAAGACCCAACAAGTCCACCCACAAGATGGACCGACGACCTCACAAAGGTAGCGGGAAGGCGCTGGATGCAGGCCGCCACCAACCGACCATTGTGGAAATCATTGGGGGAGGCCTATGTTCAACTGGACGTCCTATGGCTAAAATGATCACGATGATGATGATGAAAGCGAATAAAGGTCTAATAGCTTGGGTAGTTCATCGTAGGTATAATCCTTTCCTTTTCAATGCTTTTTTTAGTTATATTAATAGATTGTAGTCATAATACATACTCGTATACATGGATGATTGTGTTATACTTTCATTATAATACTTAGTGGAATTACTGCTTTCAAAACGTGAATTAGATCTGGCCCCATAGCAGACATTTACCTACGTCTAAAGGCCTTTTAAAATATATATTGGTTCTGGCTATTGGAGCGGGTACCACTTTCCATACATTTGTGCCCATCATCCTTAATGACAATAGCACTTTACATGTAATGGCGTCCACAAGTAGAATTCGTGTTAGGTACTTTACACGGTTGATTACATTACACCCGTCTGGACCCGGCTTAAATATGAACAGTGGTAAAGTAATTTCTTAATACGGGAGGGTTTCCTCAATTGCGAAGTTAGCGCCACACATTCGCTAATTGGCGCCATTGTGTTGTGCCGAGAGTGACATGACCGTACTCGACAGTGGCGCCAATTGGCAAATGTGTGGCGCCAACTGGCGTGTGTGGCGCTAACTACCGAATGTATGGCGCCAACTGCTAAATATGTGGCGCCAAGGGTGTAAAAGTACCAAGCACCCATAACACTTCCATATATCCGGAAGGATTTTTGATTTAGACAAGCACCTAAACACATACAAACGACAAATATTTTGGCTAGAAAAGTACCAGGCGCCAATACTGCTAAAGGAGTAATAAATCCTCACCCATATATCGGCCTTAGGCCCGTCATACTGCCGTCCCTCAAACAGTTCCGGCGCAGCATACGGCGGACTCCCACACCAAGTTGCTAGTGGAGACCCTGCTGTGTACTCGTTGCTGAATCCGAAGTCTGCGAGCTGGAAAGTGGACCTTATTAGTACAGGAATAACGGCTATAATAATGGTAGAACATCATAATCTTCAGGGCAAGTCTGCCAGTTGGAGGGGCTTTCTGCTAGTGGGAATAACGGCTAGAATGGCAAAACATTGTCATCATCAGGTGATTTATTAAGTCTCCACTGCAGGAGAGGCAAATGCGATCCCTCTGTGTACTCGTTGCTGAATCCGAAGTCTGCGAGCTGGGGGAGAATAGACTTTATTAGTATAGGAATAACGCCTCGATTCGAATAAAACGAGTTCTATACCTACTCTGTATTACGCTTATGGCTATGTGAGTGGAGAGGCCACCATCAGAGCAAAAGCGCGCTGCGTACCATTTGAGGCAGCTGCCTTCTGTCCTCCCTCATAATGCCCTTTTGTCCCCCATCATTATGGCTCTCTGTCCCCTTTCGTTATGAGCATCTGTCCCCCCTTGTTATACCCCTTTGTCAAGCCCCTCTACCCCTCCTTACCTTAATATTCATGTCTCGGTCTAGCAACAAGTTCTCTGCCTTCAGATCGCGGTGCACGACCCCGCTAGCGTGGCAATCGCCCACCGCTGCTACCATCTGAGCGAAGGCTCTCTGTCCCCCTCTTTATGCCCTTATGTCCCTCTCGTTATGCCCTGTCCCTCTATCCTCCTATGTCCACTTTATGCCTATTTGTCCTCCTCGTTATGTCCTCTTTCCCCCATTGCTATGTCCTCTGTCCCCCCATGTTATGCCCTCTGTCCCCCCTCGTTATGCCCCTCTGTCCTACATCGTTATACCCCTCTGTCCCCCCGACTTGGATTCGACGATGAACCTGTATAAGAGCATTATATCAATGACTAACCTTAATATTCATGTCCCGGTCTAGCAACAAGTTCTCTGCCTTCAGATCGCGGTGCACGACGCCGCTAGCGTGGCAATAGCCCACCGCTGCTACCATCTGAGCAAAGACTCTCTGTCCCCCTCTATATGCCTTTATGTCCCCCTCGTTATGCCCTGTCCCTCTATCCTCCTATGTCCACTTTATGCCTATTTGTCCTCCTCGTTATGTCCTCTTTCCCCCATTGCTATGTCCTCTGTCCCCCCATGTTATGCCCTCTGTCCCCCCTCGTTATGCCCCTCTGTCCTACATCGTTATACCCCTCTGTCCCCCCGACTTGGATTCGACGATGAACCTGTATAAGAGCATTATATCAATGACTAACCTTAATATTCATGTCCCGGTCTAGCAACAAGTTCTCTGCCTTCAGATCGCGGTGCACGACGCCGCTAGCGTGGCAATAGCCCACCGCTGCTACCATCTGAGAAGACTCTCTGTTCCCCCTTGATATGCATTCTACCCCTATATCCCCCTCGCTATTTCCTGTTCCCCCCTTGTTATGCCTCTCTGTACCCCTTGTCTTGTCATGTCCCTCTGTACCCTTCGTTATTTTCCTGTTTCCCCTCGTTATGTCCCTTTGTCCCCCCATTGTCAAGCCCCTCTATCCCTCCTTACCTTAATATTCATGTCCCGGTCAAGCAACAAGTTCTCTGCCTTCAGATCGCGGTGCACGACCCCGCTAGCGTGGCAATAGCCTACCGCTGCTACCATCTGAGAAGACTCTCTGTTCTCCCTTGATATGTATTATATCTCCCCTCATTGTACCCTTATGTCCCCCTCGCTATTTCCTGTTTACCCCTTGTTATGCCTCTCTGTACCCCTTGTCTTGTCATGTCCCTCTGTACCCTTTGTTATTTTCTCTGTTTCCCCTCGTTATACCCCTTTGTCCCCCCATTGTCAAGCCCCTCTATCCCCCTCCTTACCTTAATATTCATGTCCCGGTCTAGCAACAAGTTCTCTGCCTTCAGATCGCGGTGCACGACGCCGCTAGCGTGGCAATAGCCCACCGCTGCTACCATCAGAGCAAAGACTCTCTGTCCCCCTCGTTATGCCTTGTCCCTCTATCCTCCTCATATGCCCACTTTATGCCTCTTTGTCCTCCTCATTATGTCCTCTTTCCCCCCTTGCTATGTCCTCTGTCCCCCCATGTTATGCCCTCTGTTCCCCCTCGTTAGGGGGCGTCCATAAATTACGTGACACAATTTTGGCTATTTTTCAACCCCCCCCGCCCCCCTTGGCGAGATTTGGTGAGATTTTGCCTGACCCCCTCCCCCACCCCCTAATCTCACGTGATATTTAAAAAAATCCGAAATTTAATAGTTTTGGAGTAATTAGAAAGNACCTATAACCCATCACACTAGCCCTGGATGTGTCGTGGCACTAGCCCTGGCTGTGTCGTGGCACTAGCCCTGCTGTGTCGTGGCACTAGCCCTAGCTGTGTCATGGCTACTGTTGAAAATGACTAAAGCGGCTGAATTTGACTGAGCGTCATTTACGGTCAAATTGGTTAAAAACGGTCAAAAACAAGTCATAAACTGTAACTGTACAGTAATATTGAGTTGTGAGTTGTTGTAAATTGACTGCATTTGACCGTTTTAGACCGTCGTGACCGGTCAGCTTCAGTCAATTTACATCTCGTCGTGACACTACTGACCTGGTTGTGTTGCGTGTTCTGTGTGCGCGGCCAGCCAGCGGTGGCGCGCCACGCCACACGACTGTCGTTTGTCGGCGTCTACTACCAACATGTTGTGTCGTGGCACTAGACCTGCATGTGACGAGTGCTCGCACTGTGTACACCAGTGCTGGCTGTGTCGTGGCACTAGTAGTGGCTGTGAATGGCGCTAGCATTGGCTGTGAATGGCGCTAGTAGTGGCTGTGAATGGCTCTAGTACTGGCTGTGTCGTGGCGCTAGTAGTGGCTGTGTCGTGGCACTAGTAGTGGCTGTGTCGTGGCACTAGTATAGGCTGTGAATGGCGCTGGTATTGGCTGTGAATGGCGCTAGTATTGGCTGTGTCATGATGCTAGTAGTGGCTGTGTCGTGGCGCTAGTAGTGGCTGTGTCGTGGCACTAGTAGTGGCTGTGTCGTGGCACTAGTAGTGGCTGTGTCGTGGCGCTAATAGTGGTTGTGTCGTGGCACTAGTGCTGGCTGTGTCATGGCACTATTGACCTGGCAGTATCGTGGCACTAGTACTGGTTGTCGTGGCACTTTTACTGGCTGTGAATGGCGCTAGTAGTGGCTGTGTCGTGGCGCTGGTAGCGGCTGTGTCGTGGCACTAGTACTGGTTGTCGTGGCACTTTTACTGGCTGTGAATGACGCTAGTAATGGCTGTGTCGTGGCGCTGGTAGTGGCTGTGTCGTGGCGCTGGTAGCGGCTGTGTCGTGGCACTGACCTGGTTGCGTGGCGTGTTCTGTGTGCGCGGCCAGCCAGCGGTGGCGCGCCACGCCCCGCAGCGACAGCCGCTTGTCGGCGTCTACTACCGGCAAGTTGTGTCGTGGCACTAGTCCTGCTGTGTCGTGGCACCAGCCCTGCTGTGTCGTGGCACTGACCTGGTTGCGTGGCGTGTTCTGTGTGCGCGGCCAGCCAGCGGTGGCGCGCCACGCCCCGCAGCGACAGCCGCTTGTCGGCGTCTACCACCGTGTCGTGGCACTAGCCCTGCTGTGTCGTGGCACTGACCTGGTTGCGTGGCGTGTTCTGTGTGCGCGGCCAGCCAGCGGTGGCGCGCCACGCCCCGCAGCGACAGCCGCTTGTCGGCGTCTACCACCAGCATGTGACGGATTAGGTGCTCGCATTCTGTACCAAGAGAATTACAAGTTATAGTCTGGTCTGCGAACACGTAGAATTTTGTCCAATGACCCCAAGCTACCCATCCTTATCCTGTTGCTGTCGCGCTCGCACACTCACTGCGGGCGCTCGTCGCACAGTCGCGACAGAAATAATTACGCGCGAGCGATAAGGATGGGTAGCTTGGGGTCATTGGACAAAATTCTACGTGCTCACAGACCGGGCTTTAGAAATTATGTTTATTCCACTTTGTTCAGCTAGGTGATCACAGTGGACTCCAGACGATACTTTGGTGTCCTTTGATCATCCATGGATAAGATCGCCTAGGTAATCAAAGTGAGCTTCTTATCCATGGTGACCGAAGGATACCAGTGTTGCTTGGAGTCCACATTGATCACATGGGAAATCAAATCCAGGTGATCAAAATTGAATACACCAGAAATTATGTAAATACTACTGTTACTACATATAATGTTATGGAGTTTTCCAGCGTGATCGAATCAGAAATGAGGAGATCCGAAGGAGAACTTGAGTGACAAACATAGCCCGCAGAATCGCTAAAATCAAGTGGCAGTGGGCGGGGCACATAGCTCGTAGAGCTGATGGTCGCTGGGGCAGAAAAATTCTCGAATTGCGACCACGAGCCGGAAGACGTGGGCAGGCTTTCTACTAGGTGGACCGACGATCTGGTGAAGATCACGAGAGTTCCCTGGATGCGGGCGGCGCAGGACCGGTAACCCAAAAACCTTGGGGGAGGCCTTTGTCCAACAGTGGACGTCTTTCGGCTGAAACGAACGAACAAACGAACGATAAATATGATGTTCAAGGAGCATTTCCACTCACCCTGCGACATGAAGTATGGTATCCGGAACTTGCCCGCTAACACTACACTGCGTAACTCGTGTAGTGTGCCGCCGTCAAACGGAAGTGCGCCGCACACTAGCACGTACAGAACCACACCTAGTGACTGCAAGAAAAACAGAAAAAGTTTGACACTTTACAAATGCACAAATGTTGCTTAATCCCAACTAATATAAATGCGAAAGTAACTCTGTCTGTCTGTTACGCTTTCCCGCTTAAACCTCGCAACCGATTTTGATGAAATTTGGCATAGAGATAGTTTGAGTCCCGGGAAAGAACATAGGATAGTTTTTATCCCGGTTTTTGAAACAGGGACGCGCGCGATAAAGTTTTTCTGTGACAGACAAAATTCCACGCGGGCGAAGCCGCGGGCGGAAAGCTAGTGAATTATCTTCCACACATAGTTTTTGTACATCTTTACAAACATCTTGCCACATGTTGTTGACCGGAACAACACCCGTACACGTACGCACAGTGGAATGTTAGGAAATGTAATGTGTGGCGCCAACTAGTGAGCGCTGAAGAGGTAGGACAATCAAAAACAAACTCTTTAGGGCACTCATACACGTCCCAAATATAGCTTGCCCTACCACCACTTCGGGACAACATTATGGGCTGGTGCTGAGAAGAAGTATGCCATATGTTTGTCTCGAAGCGCTGGTAGGGCCCAAAAGATAACTAATAAGGAGACATGTAAAGTGCCCCATAAGGGCTACCTTTTTCTTTTTTTATTATTTTCTATTGACGTTCATAAGTGCCACTTGTGGTCTAAACTGAAGAAATATTAAAAAAAAAAAAAAAAGTGGCGGAAGAACTCAGTCATCTTTGTTAGCATCACCAGTTCACCAGTTGGCGCCACTGTGCAATGTCGAGTGACAGAACCGTACAGTGGCGCCAATTGGCGAATGTGTGGCGCCAACTGACGAATGTATGGCGCCAACTGGCGAATGTGTGGCGCCAAGGGTGTAAAAGTACCAGGCACCCATAACAGTTGAGGAGTTTTCACCCATATATCCGTTGGCAATTAAAAAAAAAATCAGGCACCCATAACATTCCAGGAGTTCTCACCCATATTAAATGTCTTAGACTAAGTTTTTTACTTAGACAGGTACCAGGCGCCCATACTACTAAAGAAGTAATAAATCCTCACCCATATATCCGCCTTAGGCCCGTCATACTGCCGTCCTTCAAACAGTTCCGGCGCAGCGTACGGCGGACTCCCACACCAAGTTGCTAGTGGAGACCCTGCTGTGTACTCGTTGCTGAAGCCGAAGTCTGCGAGCTGGAAAGAAATGGAACTTATTAGTATAGGAATAAAGCCAGGTATTGCGCCACCATCTGTGCGAAAGCTCTCTGTCCGCTTTCGTTATTATGTCCCCTGTCCCCCCTCGTTACGCCCCTCTCTTACCCTTAGTTATGCCCCTCTGACCCCCCTAGTTATGCCTTTCTGTCCTCCTTTATTATGTCCCTCTGTCACCCCTAGTCATGCCCCTGTATCACCCCTAGTCATGTCCCTCTATCACCCGTCGTCGTTAGTTATGCCTGTCTGTCCATAGTTATGCTCTCTGCCCCCTCTTATGCTCTTCTGTCCCCCCNGTTATGTCCTCTTTCCCCCATTGCTATGTCCTCTGTCCCCCCATGTTATGCCCTCTGTCCCCCCTCGTTATGCCCCTCTGTCCTACATCGTTATACCCCTCTGTCCCCCCGACTTGGATTCGACGATGAACCTGTATAAGAGCATTATATCAATGACTAACCTTAATATTCATGTCCCGGTCTAGCAACAAGTTCTCTGCCTTCAGATCGCGGTGCACGACGCCGCTAGCGTGGCAATATCCCACCGCTGCTACCATCTGATCAAAGACTCTCTGTCCCCCTCTATATGCCTTTATGTCCCCCTCGTTATGCCCTGTCCCTCTATCCTCCTATGTCCACTTTATGCCTATTTGTCCTCCTCGTTATGTCCTCTTTCCCCCATTGCTATGTCCTCTGTCCCCCCATGTTATGCCCTCTATTCCCCCTCGTTATGCCCTCTGTCCCCCCGACTTGGAGTCGACGATGAACCTGTATTAGAGCATTATGTCGGCCGTTTGGTGTAGTGGTTCAGAACGGACTACTATTCCGAGAGGTCCCGGGTTCGATTCCCGGGCGGGCAGAAATTGAAATGATGAATTTTAATTTCTGTGACGGGTCTGGGTGTGACTATGTATAATATTTATGTATTTAAAAAAAAAAAGTATATAAGTAGTATATCCGTTAAGCTAGCACCCATAACACAAGCATTAAGTTGCTTACTTTAGGGCTAGCTGGCGCTGTGTGAAATTGTCCAAAGATTTATTTATTTATTTATTATATCAATGACTAACCTTAATATTCATGTCCCGGTCTAGCAACAAGTTCTCTGCCTTCAGATCGCGGTGCACGACGCCGCTAGCGTGGCAATAGCCCACCGCTGCAACCATCTGAGAAGACTCTCTGTTCCCCCTTGATATGCATTCTACCCCTATATCCCCCTCGCTATTTCCTGTTCCCCCCTTGTTATGCCTCTCTGTACCCCTTGTCTTGTCATGTCCCTCTGTACCCTTTGTTATTTTTTCTGTTTCCCCTCGTTATACCCCTTTGTCCCCCCATTGTTCTAGCAACAAGTTCTCTGCCTTCAGATCGCGGTGCACGACCCCGCTAGCGTGGCAATAGCCCACCGCTGCTACCATCTGAGAAGACTCTCTGTTCTCCCTTGATATGCATTATATCTCCCCTCATTGTACCCTTATGTCCCCCTCGCTATTTCCTGTTTACCCCTTGTTATGCCTCTCTGTACCCCTTGTCTTGTCATGTCCCTCTGTATCCTTCGTTATTTTCTCTGTTCCCCTTTCGTCATGCCCCTCTGTCCCCCCTAGTTATCCCTCTCTACCCCTCCTTACCTTAATATTCATGTCCCGGTCTAGCAACAAGTTCTCTGCCTTCAGATCGCGGTGCACGACGCCGCTAGCGTGGCAATAGCCCACCGCTGCTACCATCTGAGTGAATGTTCTCTATCTCCCCACGTCGTGTCCCTCAGTCTCCCCTCGTTATTCCCCTATATAGCCCTCGCTATTTCCTGTTCCCCCCTTCTTTTGCCTCTCTGTACCCCTTGTCTTGTCATGTCCCTCTGTACCCTTCGTTGTTTTCCTCTGTTCCCCCTCGTTATGTCCCTTTGTCCCCCCATTGTCAAGCCCCTCTGTCCCCCTCTCCTTACCTTAATATTCATGTCTTAGTCTAGAAGCAGGTTCTCTGCCTTCAGATCGCGGTGCACGACCCCGCTAGCGTGGCAATAGCCCACCGCTGCTACCATCTGAGAAGACTCTCTGTTCTCCCTTGATATGCATTATATCTCCCCTCATTGTACCCTTATGTCCCCCTCGCTATTTCCTGTTTACCCCTTGTTATGCCTCTCTGTACCCCTTGTCTTGTCATGTCCCTCTGTATCCTTCGTTATTTTCTCTGTTCCCCTTTCGTCATGCCCCTCTGTCCCCCCTAGTTATCCCTCTCTACCCCTCCTTACCTTAATATTCATGTCCCGGTCAAGCAACAAGTTCTCTGCCTTCAGATCGCGGTGCACGACCCCGCTAGCGTGGCAATAGCCTACCGCTGCTACCATCTGAGAAGACTCTCTGTTCTCCCTTGATATGTATTATATCTCCCCTCATTGTACCCTTATGTCCCCCTCGCTATTTCCTGTTTCCCCTTGTTATGCCACTCTGTACCCCTTGTCTTGTCTTGTCCCTCTGTAGCCTTTGTTATTTTCTCTGTTTCCCCTCGTTATGTCCCTTTGTTCCCCATTGTCAAGCCCCTCTATCCCTCCTTACCTTAATATTCATGTCCCGGTCTAGCAACAAGTTCTCTGCCTTCAGATCGCGGTGCACGACGCCGCTAGCGTGACAATAGCCCACCGCTGCTACCATCTGGGCGAAGGCCCGCGCCGCTTCCGATTCGGGCATGCGGCCGCGCGTTACTAGGTGGTCTGTAATCAACAACAGGTCATTTGTTAGAAATTTTATTTTAACCTATTTGGTTAACATAGTAACTGTCTTAGCGTATCAGTCTACTAGTATAAGAGCAGCTCATGTCAAGCATAAAAGAGTTTACCAATAGTTTTTATGATTATGATACTACATTAAAGTAAATGAGTATTTAAATGCAGACGTAGACTAAAGGCCCAAGAGTCCCCCTAGCGTTTGAGCGTCAGAAAGTTAAACTGTAAAGTCATTAGGATCTTAAAGCAATGCAATAAGATGCAAAATAAGATGGCAGGGCATAATGTATACCTTGTCGCCACTACGCCCCCTAATATAATTCCCTTCTCACTGAGCAGATTGTCTTAAGATCTAAAAATTGTAAAGCGTTAGTTTAGACTAAGCCTAGGCGCAGACCACCGACTTTTAGTTGGCCGATAGTTAGGCCATACTGATCAACAGCCCGACCCAACTATCGGCCGACTAAAAGTCGGTGGTCTGCCCCCAGGCTTAAGAAATACATACCAAATATTTCACCATTCGGCGCGTATTCTGTTACTAAGTATATTGTGTGCGTGCTTTCCATAACCTGAAAACAATTAATAATTTTATTAACACAAGCAAGGAATCTCTAAAGTACTTCATCATCATCATCATCATCATTTCAGCCATAAGACGTCCACTGCCGAACATAGGCCTCCCTCAATGATTTACATATTGCCCGATTAGTAGCGCCTTGTATGCAGCGCCTTCCTGCTACCTTTATGACTCGTTCGTTTCAGCCAAATGACGTCCACTGCTGGACAAAGGCCTCCCCCAAGGGGTATCCTTCCGTTTGGCCAAATTACTTTTCGCCAAATTTCACTTCGCAAACAACTTATCGCCAAAGTTTCATTTCCCAAATTAACTTTTAGCAACTGTACTTTTCGCAACTAATTCATTTGGTCAAATTATCATTTGGCTAAATTTTACTTGGCAAATGTTTATATAGCAAATGATTTATTTTGCCAAATATTATATCCCAAATAATTTGTTTGGTCAAATTGACACTTCACCAGCGTTGCCAGTTTTTTTTTTCGCCAAGTCGGGACTTTGGTACTTTTTGAGTGAAAATAGCGGGATTCTTCCGTCAGAAGCGGGACATAGTAAAATAAGGGTTCCGTTTTTTGCCATTTGGCTACGGAACCCTAAAAACGTATTTAATCAAAGGTTTTCAAATATTTATCTTTTTATTTGACTTAAAATTACGTTTACGTGACAATAGATAGCAAAAGAAAATGTATTTTAAATTCGTCTTTAGAATAAAAAAAGAAAAAAAAAAGCAAATCGAAATAAAAAAAACATCTTTAGAATAATATGGCGTTTCAAACAATAGTCTGGTGAAGTGAGTGTCTCTCTCCGAAAAGCGGGACCGAACCTGTCCCGCGCGGGACTTTTAAATTTGATTTAAAAATCGGGACGTCCCGCCAAAATCGGGACGTCTGGCAACGCTGCACTTCACATACTTACCCACCGTTACCCACAAATCAAAGCATAAGGCAGATGATCATGGTTTTCACAAGAATTTTATGTAAAACAAAGAGATTGCAGAAAATAGTAGGTTAGGTTAGGTTAGACAGTGACCCTTAACGCGCGAAGGCGAGCGAAGCGTGCCGCGGTAGCGGCCGCCGAGCGCTAGAATCACCTCTATTGTTAATGAATCATTTGGAAATTTCGATAAAAAGAATGAAATATGAAAATTAATTTAGAACTAATTTTATATTAACTACCCACTAAACAAAATAATAACCACAAGCTAATTTGTATTCCATTCTATGCACCAATCAAATTATTTTGTAAATAGTTTATTGTAAAATATTTTTGCGAAATGAAACATTTGGCAAAACATACTTTGCCAAACAATAATTTGCTAAACAATAATATGCCAAAAACGACATTTGCGAATTAAAAGTTTGCAATAAGTTGTTTTGCCAAATGAGAATTTTCCAAATGAAAATTTGCGAAACGTTGTTTGCGATGTGATAATTTGGGAAACGTTTTTTGGCCAAACATTAGTAATCCCCCCCAAGGTTTTCCACAATGAACGGTCCTGCGCTGCCCGCATCCAGGCTCTTCCCCGCGACCTTTACCAGATCGTCGGTCCACCTAGTAGGAGGCCTGCCCACGCTACGTCCTCCAGCCCGTGGTCGCCACTCGAGAACTTTCCTGCCCCAACGGCCATCGTCTCTGCGAGCTATGTGCCCCGCCGACTGCCACTTGATTTTAGCAATTCTGCGAGCTATGCCACTTTGGTTACTTTGGTTCTCCTGCGGATCTCCTCATTTCTGATTCGATCACGCAGGGAAACTCCGAGCATAGCCCGCTCCATCGCCCTTTGGGTGACCTAAGCGACCACGTCTCAGATCCGTATATCATCACTGGCAACACGCATTGGTCAAATACTTTCGACTTGAGACACTGCGGTATTTAGGACGTGAGTATATGGCGAAGCTTCCCGAACGCTGCCCATCCGAGTTGGATTCGACGATTGACCTCTTTCTCGTTCTTATGACTCACTAAACTCATTTTATTTTTGCAAGTAGCCTTTTAAAAAGCACTTTTACACGTCCCAGTATGAACCATACCACTGCTTTGGAACAATAAATGGGCTAGTGCTGAGAAGAAGCAGCGCAAGAAACTCAGGTCACACTTTTTTTTATCCACAACGAGGAAGCTCTTGGCCTGTATCTCACCTGATGGTAAGTGATGATCAGGCCGAAGGTGGAAGCGAGCTTCACTCTTAATCCTCAACTACAGAGGAACTGGCTATCTTACCTCTAACCGCCGGAACACAACAATGCTGTTAACATTGTTGTTATGGCGACAGACTTAGGTAAGATGGTGGTAGTTAGCCAGGCGGACTTAGAGCAAGCCCTACCACCAACCAAACCGAACAGAAAAATCTGCCCCCACTGGGAATCGAACCCGGGACCTCTGCGTCTGAAGCAGGTGGTCTTACCACTAGACCACAGAGGCGGTTAAAACTATTGATCGTCGGTTCACCTTAAAATAATTAATGACTTTTAATCTATCACCCCACGTCATGCCCCTCTGTCCCCCTTCGTTATCCCCCTCGCTATTTCCTGTTTTCCCCTTGTTATGCCTCACTGTACCCCTTGTCTTGTCATGTCCCTCTGAAGCCTTCATTATTTTCCTCTGATCCCCTCGTTATGTCCCTCTGTCCCCTCGCAGAGGGACATAATGAGGGGGGGGGATAGAGGGGTATCCCCCCCCCCTCATTATGTCCCTCTGTCTCCTTGTCATACCTCTCAGCCCCTTCTTACCTTAATATTCATGTCTCGGTCTAGCAACAAATTATCTGCCTTCAGATCGCGGTGCACGACCCCGCCTTCACCTTAAAAAGCCTAAATTGCAAATAATTAATGACTTCACCTGATATAATCGGACTATATGTGGGTGTCTCAGTCTCTTCATGATGGCTATCTCTCTGAAAGTCTTCTTTAAATTGTCTTCGTCTAACCTAGATTTGTCTATTATTTTTATTGCAACCTGAAACAGAAAAATATCAACGATTATTTTATTAGGAAATCTTTTTAAAAACACACATAAATAGAGATTGATTCTGCAGTTTCTAAGAATTTTTAATAAGCTCTATAGTTCTTGTCATGTTCTCGTTTTGTAGCAAAGAATCACCATTTGATGAGAGCGAGAGAAAAAACGGAAATGGGTATAAAGCCTGGTCCGTGAGCACTTCTGTCCAATGACCTCAAGCTACCCATCCTTATCGCTCGTGCGTAATTATGTTGCTGTCGCGCTCGCACACTCACTGCGGGCGCCCGTCGCACAGTCGCGACAGCAATATAATTACGCGCGAGCGATAAGGATGGGTAGCTTGGGGTCATTGGACAAAATTCTACGTGCTCACGGACCAGGCTTTAGATCGTTTCATCCACGAAGACGCGCCCCACCAATTTTTTTGAAGCGCGTGGTGCTGGGAGTTTGATCCGAGCAATCCGAGCGTCATTATTGTAGTATGCGTGGATAATTTGTACCGATAACACTCAAATATTAGCGGAAGAATGGTGGGGCGCGTCTTCGTGGATGAAACGATCTATAAGCTGGAACTGTGGCCGATAGTACCTTGGAACTAGGCCTTTAGACAACAAGCACGTTGGTTTCATAAATAAATTATTAAATCTACACAAAAGAATTAATTTCGGAAATAAGTTAATGTCGGAAAGGTAAGGCCCAAAACATGTATTTGTTCTAAAAATAGTTTTTGTTTTAATTTAAAATATGTAGGTATGTTATTTAAATATAGATATTTAAACACAGTTATAGTTAAATTATGCGTGTCTATATGAAAATTAGCTACAAGGAAGTGGTTCGGATAAAACGTGAGGCGTATGTACCATACGTTTCGTCCGCTCTAGTAGATGTTACTTAGGTATGTATCTATTTATTAATGTTTTTGTTACCTATTACTATATACCATAGTACAGTCAAAAGCTTTACAGCTTGACCATTAAGCTTGAACCAGCAAAGGAAAGTCAGTCTCGGGGAGAAAAAGTAAGCCATCGTTTTTATGCAGCACAAAGTAAGTATTTGACTGCAATCGCACCTGATGTTAAGTGAGATGCAGTCTAGGTAAGATGGTTGAGTTAACTGCGGACCTGACGCCCGCGACGTCACATATCCGCTCTGGTACGGCGGACGCAGCGAATGCGGGCAGGTGTGCGGGTAAGTGCGAAATCAAAATCAAAAATCAAAATTTTCTTNTTAACCCACTTGTTACTAGCGTTTGATATACGGATCAACATAAAAATTAAATTATTATAAACAATGAGGGTGGTTTCTGATAACATTGTTTATGTTAAACGATTCCTGTGGGGTCCCTTTGTCCATCAGTAGTGTTCTGTTCTACATTGGGTGTCACATCTCAATAGTAAGCGTTTTGTTGTTTTCGAAAATTTTACGATGACTTTTTCAAGGTGAATACAAACATGATAAGTATTTATTCTAAAGTATTTCTTGCCGAAATATGAAAGTTTGTAGCCTACTTTTTGTAAATCGATAACAAAATTATAAACATTTTTATAGTAACTGTTACTAATTCAACGTTAAACTTAGTGATCCGTATAAGGAACGCTAGTAATATGAACTGCGGTATTTTGTTGTTTTAGCGCCTGCCTTCGAGGCCCTTTCCTTTAAATGAAATCATTGAAAAATTGGAGAAAAATGAAGATGAGTGTATCCCTAACTAAATCACAATTTTCCCGCCGGAAAATCCGGAAAATTGTAATGGTGACTTAACCAAAGAGAACTATGGTGATGAAAATAAAGTGTCAATAGATTTGTCTGGATTACAAATGAGAGCCCATGTAGAAATCACTAGAGAATTCTTCATCCAGTGATGATGAAGAAGACTGCATCCTGTTAGCGTAGATAGCCAATTATGCCCTAGACAGGGTCAGTCATGTTTGAAGATATGAAGAAATTATTGTTTGTAAATGAGATGATTTAGTGTGGTTACAGTTGCTTCAAATGCATTGAAAATTGCGCCAACTGACAAACCCAAGACATTTTCTCCGCCACATAAACTGAGAAGAAGTATTTTAACATCTCAAATTCAGTCACAACACACAGGTTTTATGAAACTCACGCTTTGATACAAACGCAATGTTTTTGCAAGAAATGTAATATTACCCTTGATCCCAGAAAATGTTTTGGGCATATAATATACAGTTCACACTACTGGAATTAAATTTGAAAAATAATAAATTTAACTCTGAATGTTTTTTTATGAATGAATGTTCCATATTTTATGCAAATACTTTAATAACTTACGCAAGTCGCAAAGAGTAGGTATTATCTCTAAGTTCATACAAGTGGCCGTACATATTACTAGCGTTCCGTATATCAAACACCATTTTCCAGCGTTTCCGTAAGACCAATATATTTTTTTGTATTTTTCCTGTTGCCTTGATGCATTAAATAGCCGATATATGCAAAATCACAGGAATCGTAAGAAAAAAGGGATATCCGTAACAACTGGGTTAATCCTCAAATACAGAGGAACTGGCTATCTTACCTCTAACCGCCGGAACACAACAATGCTGTTAACATTGTTGTTATGGCGACAGACTTAGGTAAGATGGTGGTAGTTAGCCAGGCGGACTTAGAGCAAGCCCTACCACCCACCAAACCGAACAGAAATCTGCCCCCACTGGGAATCGAACCCGGGACCTCTGCGTCTGAAGCAGGTGGTCTTACCACTAGACCACAGAGGTGGTTAAAACTTTTGATCGTCGGTTCACCTTAATAATTAATGACTTTTTTATGACTTTACCTGATATAATCGGACTATATGTGGGTGTCTCAGTCTCTTCATGATGGCTATCTCTCTGAAAGTCTTCTTTAAATTGTCTTCGTCTAACCTAGATTTGTCTATTATTTTTATTGCAACCTGAAACAGAAAGATATCAACGTTTATTTTATTGGAAAATCTTTTTAAAAACAGATAAATAGAGACTGATTCTGCAGTTTCTAAGAATTTTTAATAAGCTCTATAGTTTAGTCATGATGTCTTGTTTTATCGCAAATAATCACCATTTGATAAGAGCGAGAGAAAAATCGGAAATTGGTATAGATCGTTTCATCCACGAAGACACGCCCCACTAATTTCGGGACGAGGGAAGCGCGGGGTGCTGGGAGTTTGATCCGAGCAATCCGAGCGTCATTATTGTAGTGTGCGTGTGCACTCATGGATAATTTAGCGTGTACCGATAACACTCAAACATTAGCGGAAGAATAGTGGGGCGCGTCTTCGTGGATGAAACGATCTAAAGCTGGAACTGTGGCCGATAGAACCTTGGAACTAGGCCTTTAGACAACAAGGACATTGGTTTCATAAATAAATTATTAAATCTACACAAAAGAATTAATTTCGGAAATAAATTACAACCAGTAAGGCAGGCCCAAATAATTTGTTCTAAAAATAGTTTTTGTTTTAATTTAAAATATGTAGGTATGTTATTTAAAGATAGATTTTAAACACAGTTATAGTTAAATTATGCGTGTCTATATGTAAAATTAGCTACAAGGAAGTGGTGCGGATGAATCGTGAGGCGTATGTACCATATGTTTCGTCCACTCTAGTAGATGTTACTTAGGTATGTATCTATTTATTAATGTTTTTGTTACCTATACAGGGTGTTAGGTAAATGGGTATATGAGCCGACACTAGCCCATGTTAACATGGTCATATAAATGGTATGGTGAAGTCAGAAAATTGATATCTTCATTTAAATTATTTAAATTTTCATACAAATCGGAATTTAAAAAATTCTAGTGTTGGCTCATATACCCATTTACCTAACACCCCGTATACCATAGTACAGTCAAAAAGCTTTACAACTTGACCATAAAACCTAAACCAGCAAAGCAAAGACAGTCTCGGAGAAAAAGTAAACCATCTTTTTTATGCAGCACAAAGTAAGTATTTGACTGCAATCGCACCTGATGTTAAGTGAGAAGCAGTCTAGGTAAGATGGTCGAGTTAACTGCGGTACTGACGCCCGCGACGTCATATAATTATCCGCTCTGGTACGGCGGACGCAGCGAATGCGGGCAGGTGTGCGGGTAAGTGTGAAATCAAAATCAAAATCAAAAATCAAAATTTTCTTTATTTGTTTAGACTAATTAAATTAGTTCTTGCAAATCGTCAAATGCTCTTAAGGAGCCTATACATGTCTCATTCTTTTTTTGCCCTACCAGCGCTTCGAGACAAACATTTGGCAAGTGCTGAGAAGAAGCGCCGCAACAAACTCAGTCACCGCTGTCTGCCGGTTTAAAAATATAAAAAAGTAGGAAGTTACAATACATTCAGAAGCAAGTTACTTACCACGCGCTCCCGTTGATAGAAGGTGGCCTTTAAGACGCCCATCTAGCACGAGACCGCGTGGCAGTTTTGAATATACATATTTATTTAGTGCCGTGCTAATTTCTAGGTTAATTGTTGCGTTTTGATACATATATATTTTATGCCAGGGAGGCGAGGGAGTCGCTTTCCAGCGAGGTGCGCAGTTAGCTAGATTGGGTTGTATCTGCCATTTAAATGCTTATTCACTCTCGCCTTGAAGAGGCTCGGATTATAGTGCGAGGGAGAGACTGGAAAGATTGGACCGGCATCAAAATGATTGCGAAGAAAGTAGGAATTTCAAGGATCACCTACCCTTCAGTGCAGATGACAATTAACTAACGTTAACGTCAGCCTTGTTGTGTATGCATTTATTACGTGATGTCGAACACCTATGTCTGACCGATAAGATTATGGCAATTGAACCGAATTAACACAGACAGATAATGCAAAAGATTAGACAACCATACTGATACACGCGTCCCCAACCCGTCTGGCCAGAGTGGGAAGTAGGCCAAGTCCACCATTTGCCTCTGGTAAATTGGAGAGCTCCTGGAGTAGACTAAATGACCTGATTATGTTTTAGCTCCTGCAGTGGAGACTATGAATGACCATGATGATTAAACCATAGAGATGATGTAAGAGACGAC